CCCACGAATTTCACATCGATCGTTGGGGCGTCCATTCGCATTTTCACTGATCGATCCTCCGTTGAGCATCTGTCTTCAGTCGTCTCCCTCCTCTTCCTCTTCCTGCTGTCAGCCCCCTGCAGTTCTCGGCGTTCCTCGCTATTACTCCACCCATCGTCCTCCCTATATTGACTTATCTCTCTTCTTCGGCGTCTGCCAGATTCCTTCGATTCCCCCCCCAGTCTTCTTCGTTGACAGAGATCCTTTTGAAATTGCTTACAAAAAAATCCGAGCGAAATCGGCTACAAACGGAATCCTATTGAGATCGGCTGCGAAAGAATTCTTATTGAATTCGCTTCCAAAAAGAACACGATTGAAATGAGCTACAAAACGAATCCGATTCAAATCCTTACAGGAGGGATCCTATTGTAATCGGCTGCAAAATGAATCCTAGTGGAATCGGCTACAAAGGGACTCCGATTGAAATCCTCAAAAAAAGGAATCCGATTGAAATCGGCTAAGAAAAGAATCGTATTCAAATCGATTACACCAGGAATCCTATTAAAACAAAGGAATCCGACTGAAATCGGCTACAAAATCCGATTGAAACCGGCTACAACAGGAATCCGATTGACATCGGCTATACAAGGAATCCGAATGAAATCCTCCACAGAGGGAATCCTAATGAAATCGGCTACAAAAGAAATCCTATTGAAATTCCCAACAAAAGGGATTCCATTGACATCGGCTACAAAAAGGAGTCTTAGTGAAATCAGATGCAAAAGGACTCCCGTTGAAACCGGCTGCGAAAATAATCAATTGAAATTCTCCAGAACAGGGACGGAGGAAGAGGAGGAGGAGTAGGACAGACATGAGGAGGAGGAGGTGGAGGAGGATTCAGAGAAGGAAAAAGAAGAGGAGAAAGAGGAGGAGGATGAAGAGGAGGAGGACGAGGAGTTTAAGTTTGAGGAGGAGCGGGAAGAGGAGGAGGAGGAGGAGGAGAAGGTTTGGGGGAAGGGAACAGTTGAGCTGGCGCTGGCGCTGGCGCACTCGGGGAGGAGAGGGGGAAGGGATGGAGGGTGAGGGAGCAGCGATCCCTGTGGAACCGCAGGGTTTGCGACCTCAGAGGCCGCCAAACCCTTCGTTGTCATTTGGATGTTTAGGATTTCTGTGATGAGAATCAAGGAAAATTGTGTTTTCATGTGTTTCGTTTTGTTGTTGTTGAATTTGTTTGATTTTCACCCTGCAGACAAAATCAATCCAGGAGCCTCCGAAGCTTCAGAACTTTGGAAAGCCCAGGAATCAACATGAAAACGCAGGGTTTGGCGACCCCTGACGTCGCAAACGTTCTGTTTTCATTTGGATGTTTGGGATTTCTGGGATGGAAATCAACGAACACCTGCGTTTTCATTTGGATTCTTGTGATTTTGGGGATTTCAGGCCCCGACGAAACCAGCACCGCCGCTCCTCCCCCAGGTCGGCGCCCTCAGAATCCCAAAAATCCAAATGAAAACACAGGGTGCGCGAGGTCAGGGGTCACCGAACCCTGCGTTTTCATGTGGATTTTTGGGATTCTGTGGGCGCCGACCTGGGAGAGCGCCGGCGGTGCAAGTTTCGTCGGGGCTTGAAATCCATACAATCAAAACAACCAAATGAAAACACAGGGTTTGGTTAATTTCCATCCCAGAAATCAAAAAATCCAAATGAAAACGCAGGGTTTGGTGACCCCTGACTTCGCGCACCCGGTGTTTTCATTGATTTGGGATTCTGAGCGCGCCGACCTGGGGGGGGAGCGGCGAATTGGGATTCTTTTAGGAATTGGATTGGGATTGGATTTCTGGAATGGAAATCAACGAAACCCTGCGTTTTCATTCGGATTTTTTTAGATTGTAAAGGATTTCAGACACCGACGAAACCTGCACCGCCGCTCCCCCCCCAGGTCGGCGCGCTCAGAATCCCAAATCAATGAAAACACCGGGTGCGCGAAGTCAGGGGTCACCAAACCCTGCGTTTTCATTTGGATTTTTTTCATTTCTGGGATGGAAATTAACCAAACCCTGTGTTTTCATTTGGTTTTTTTGATTGTATGGATTTCAAGCCCCGACGAAACTTGCACCGCTGGCGCTCTCCCAGGTCGGCGCCCACAGAATCCCAAAAATCCACATGAACACACAAGGTTCGGTGACCCCTGACCTCGCGCACCCTGTGTTTTCATTTGGATTTTTGGGATTCTGAGGGCGCCGACCTGGGGGAGGAGCGGCGGTGCCGGTTTCGTCGGGGCCTGAAACCCCAAAAATAAAAAAATCCAAATGAAAACGCAAGGTTTCGTTGATTCCATTCCAGAAAACTACAAAATCCACATGAAAACACAAGGTTTGGTGACCCCTGACCTCGCGCACCCTGCGTTTTCATTGGGGCCTTTGGGATTCTGACGGCGCCGACCTGGGGGAGGAGCGGCGGTGCAGGTTGCGTCGGGGCCCGGAATCCCAAAAACCGAAAAAATCCAAATGAAAGCATAGGGTTCCGTTGATTTCCATCCCAGGAATCCTAAACATCCAAATGAAAACACAGGGTTTGGTGATCCGACGTGTTGGTGCGTTGGGTCTTACAAGCTGATGTCCTCCGTTGGGGAGGATGGTGTCCTTCGGCCGTCCGCTGCGCGCTGTGGCAGAGCGCGCGCCACGCCGCCGCCAGATGTGAGAGAAAAGAGCTGACGCTGGCATGTTGGGAAGCGAATGCAGAGATTGGGAGAGAAAGAGGGAGGCAGAAAAGGAGATGAACAGAAAAGAAGAGGCAAACCAGAAGGATGGTAGTAAACACGTTGGCCGCAAATGTTGCGAAGAGTGGGTGATGGGGGGGGGCTGTCCATATATGTATATATATATATATATCGGTCGTATATCTATATATATATATATCGATCGGAGGTTGGGGGGCGAAATCGCAAAGAAACAGAAACCCCCAACCGGTAAATCGTTCCATTTCGTTCGTGTCGTGCGTGCGGGCGAGGCGAAGCTGCGTGGGCGCGCGAGAGGAATGAACCCGCCGCTGCTAGGGCGAAGCCAAGACAAATGATTATCCCCCGCCCGTCCGCCCGTTCGGCAGTGGCCCGCGGTGGCCCGCGGTGTCCCGCGGTGTCCCGTGGTGTCCCGTGGTGCCCGCCGTTGCTAGGGCGAAGTCAAGACAAATGATTCTCCCTCGCCCGCCCGTCCGACGGTGGCTCGCGCTGTCCCGCGGTGTCCCGCGGTGTCCCGTGGTGTCCCGTGGTGTCCCGTGGTGTCCGCCGTTGCCAAGGCGAAGCCAAGACAAATAATTCTCCCCGGCCCGCCCGTCCGACGGTGGCTCGCGGTATCCCGCGGTGTCCCGTGGTGTCCCGTGGTGTCCCGTTGATGTCCGCCGCTGCTAGGGCGAAGTCAAGACAAATGATCCCGCCCGCCCGTCTGGCCGTCCGTCTGTCCGGCGGTGGCTCGCGGTGTCCCGTGGTGTCCCGTGGTGTCCCGTTGAGTGAGATCGATAGTGAGATCGATAGTGAGATCGATGTGGTGCCCCGAAGTGTCCCGTGGTGTCCCGTTGAGTAAGATCGATAGTGAGATCGATGTGGTGCCCCGAGGTGTCCCGTGTTGTCCCGTCGAGTGAGATCGATCGTGAGATCGATACTGAGATCGACATCTGTCCCGTGGTGTCCCGTGGTGCCCAGTGATGTGTCCCGTTGAGTGAGATTGATAGTGAGATCGATAATGAGATCGATAATCAGACCGATGTGGTGCCCCGAGGTGTCCCGTGGAGTTCCGTGGTGTCCTATGGTGTCCCGTTGAGTGAGATCGATAGTGAGATCGATAGTGAGATCGAGAGGTGTCCCGCGGTGTCCCGTGTTCTCCCGTAGTGTCCCGTGGTGTCCCGTTGAGTGAGATCGATAGTGAGATCGATAGTGAGATCGACAAGTGTCCCGTGGTGTCCCGTGGTGTCCCGTTGAGTGAGATCGATAGTGAGATCGATTGAGTCAGATGGTGGTTCCCCTCCCTCTCCCCCGCACACAACCTCCCTCTCACCCGAAGTGTGGTCGTATAGGTGTATAAATAGTGTAAACTATGTGACGCAAACTATATGGTGCAAAACGTGTGCCGCAGTCTACGCCGTTCAAAGTAACGTATGGGGCGCAATCTATCTGACTCCTTTGATTTGAAGAGCTTGGAACCGTCAACTCCAATACTGGAACAAACATACGAACTACCAACCCGCAACGGGCTGGCAAGACTCAAGAGGCTTAACAATCGGAATGCGGTAACAAATCTGAAATGGCATGATGAGGCGAGAACCCTTATCTTGCAGATCCATGGTCCGGAAGGGCGCGAAATGATGATGCCGTGGGAGACTCAAAACTATACGAACATAAAGCATATCGTGTTTTCCGTATCGTCTGGAAAGTCTCGATCTTGACGCAATTGAGCCAAGTGGTGCTTCAATGCGTTCGGCCAGCACCGGAGGCGCGCACGTGAGGCCTCCATGGTAACTACTGACAGGGCTTACGGGGGAAATCTATCACATATCATGTGCACGTTCGCAATGGCGTTTGAATGATGTCGACCTGCGCGTGCGAGGGCGCGCGCATATGGCCCGCACTGTCTTAGCGTCTGAGCTGATGTCACCTACATGAGGGCGACCCAGTCTCTAACTGATGCGGTACACACTGATTGTTTAACCAATAATGCACAATTCAGAACGCACAGGGCGCACACCCTACAGGCCCATGGGCCATGAGACCATCATCTTTCCAGCGGGCTCTCGCCATAATAGAGATGCGTGTGCTGCCTCGTGAGGAGTGGACTCAGGATGGGAGAATGTACCGCGCCTGCGGTGGCGCGCGCTGGGTTTACCGAGGTCCCTCCTCCTCCTCCTCCTCCTCCTCCTGCTCTTCCTCCTCATCCTCCTTCCCTTCTTACTCCACCCCCTCCCCAGGGCGACCCTTGGCCAGCCCAGTCCATCCAAGCCGCGGCTGCCGCCGCGAGGGGGCCCGCGGTCTCCTGGCGGTTCTCCTGGCGGCGGGAAGGCGAATGACTTCGCCGAGCGGGCGACGCCTTCCACCCCCTCCCATGTTGCTCCTCCTTCTGCTCCTCCTCCTCCTCCTCCTCATCATCATCATCACCACCACGATCGTCATCATCACCACCACCATCAAAACCACCACCAAACATCATCAACAACCGTGATTATCACCAATGCCATCAACAACATACATGTTCACCATAACTCCTGATTCCCCACGCCTCCCCTCATCCTCCTCGTCTCTTCTCACTCTCCATTCGCCTTCTGCTCCTCCCTCCTCCTCCCCCTCATCCTCATCTTCCTCCTCGCGCGCCAACGCCCGTTTGCATCCTCCGCTCTGCCCCCTCCTCCCCCCTCTCCACCTCTCTCGTCATTATCCGCCTCCTCCTCATCATCATCATCATCATCCTTCTCCTGTGGGGCCCACGCGCCAGGCGCTGGCACGCGCCCCAGAGCTGTCGGGATCCTGTCTACGCCAAGGGCCAGCGCCGTGATGTGCGGGCGCGGGCTCTCGGCGTGCCCCTCCGGCACCGTCGCGACTGGACCGAGTAGGAGTCGCAGGCTGCGGACAGACCGTGGACGTGCGCGCGAAGACAACGAGGAGGACGAGGGCAAGAGGGCCAGGACCAGGAGGGGGACGGACAGGATTGCCACAAGCTGTCTGGTTCTCCCCAGCGCGCCCGCCATCTCGTTCTCTCTCTCTCTCTCTCGATCGCTCTCTGATTTTCTGTCTCACTGCCTATAGCTCTCTCTCTCGCGCTCTCTCTCTCTCTCTTTCCTCTCTGTCTCTCTCTCTCTCTCTCTCTTTGCCCAGGTTGAGGTAGCACCCGAGACCCAGCATGGGCAATGATCACCAACCCACCGACACTTGCGAATAACCAACATGCGCGACAAGAGCCCAACAAGATGCGCCAGAGATGGGAAAGACACGACAAGCCTGGAGTGCGTGACTGTGTGCGCACAATGTGTACCAAGCTAGCGCACGCTCCCACACAAGGCGGCTGCCCAAGCCTAAAGTAACCGCCAGCGCAGTCCGCGACAATGGTAACCCGCGGTTGCCTTTTTTCCCCCGCGGCGCCGTAGGGGAAAGAAAACGTGTATGCAGCTGTTGCTGGCGGACGAGATACAACTGGGGTAGGGACAACAGCCACGGGCCGACGCCCGCTCCCAGCCCCGACGTCTGCTCTCCGCAGATCCTGGTGGTCGCACGCCAAGCTGTGGAGCAGGCAGCAGCCGAACGCCTGCACGGGCACGTCGGCGATGTGTGCCTCCGAAGCAAAGAGAAACCACTAGACACCAGAGGGGTATCGGGTACGCCAGAGGGTGACGTAGAGCAAGGAGGTTCCAGTGGAGCCAGTCGGAGCTAGACCTCCCCTGTTCCTCCTGCTTCCACCCCTACCCCCGTCGCCCCTCCACTTGATTAGCCTTGTGGTGTCTAACTCGGTCACGGCGAAAGCAAAGAGCTTCAGAGTCACCAGAAGCAGCAGAGCATGCGGTGCGCCTTCATGGTCTCCATCGCGAGCGTCAGGCCGCCGAGACTAACGATACGTGTCTGCGTGTCGCGCTTGTCCCAGGCCTCTGATGGGCAGGGTGGATCGTCACACTGTTTGACAAGGATGAAGACAAACAGAAGAAGGAGGAGGAGAAGGATGAGGCGGGCCAGGCGGAGGAGGTGGAGTCGCACATGGAAGCGGGAGCTCCAGCGAATGCGGAGTGGGGGATCAGGGAACAGATTTCGAGGAGCGCTTCGCGAGGTAGCAATAGCCGATGCTCGGACGCGAAACATTGATATGAGAGCTCACCACCGAGATGCCGCTCGGAAGGACATTCAGCGCCGTTGCACCTATGCATTATCGAGTGCAAGTAGACATATATGTGGCCACGTCTGCCTCGATGGTGGCGAATGCATTCGTGAGAGCAGTCAGTTCACAACAGGCACGTGGGGCGGATGAGGAAGAGCGCGCTTGCCTTGTGCGCATATTGACTACGATGCGTGATGTGTTGAATTCCTCCCTTCCGCCGCATCCGACGCCCGTCCACACAACACCACGCGGATGTGTTTGCTGGCCTCTTCCTTGCAAAGCGCCGCCCAACATTTGGCGGGCGCCATGGACTCAGAGGACCCGGCGGCGACCGACACGGAGTGAGCCGGCCATTTCGCCACAACGACTTCGAGCGGCTGCTCCCTCCCCAACGGGTGCGGCGGTGACGCCAACTGGTGAGAATAAGAATCCTGAGTATGGCCGTGATCTGAACGATGAATTAATTATGCGCGGTGATGAGACGCAGAGCTTCGCTGTACGTTTTTTCCTGCTGCCCAGAGCCACTATGACAGCAACCCTGGCCAGGGACTCTAAGACTGCGGCTGGGCCCGTGCACAACGCGCCCGAGCGCCAGGCCACGCCGCTTCCCGTGCCAGGACAAAGATGAATGGCGATCGCGCTGCACTGATGTCAGGGGGGGGAGGGGGGGGGGCAGGAGCGGCGCCCGCTGCCGAAGACTGAAGTTCCTCAAGTTTCCTCGCCCACGTGAAGCTCGCCCCCCGCGCTCTCCAGCGGTGATCGCCCCGACCTGCCCGCGAGCGTCCACATACGGTGGACGCGGGCTGCGACCCGCTCCTGAAGCGACGCCGTCTGAGTGCCTCCAGCCCGGGCCGCGCTGCGTCCGTGCGACTGGCCCGAACCTGCCCGAAGCGTCCGCCATCGGTGGGCGCGCGCAGCGGATCGCTCTTTCGGACCCGAGGCGCCACCGGGGCGCGGCAGCAAAGTGCACCCTCGGCGGCGCCTCGGATCCGAGTTGTGGGCAAGCTACGCTGGGACGCAGGCGGAGCGACCTGCGGCACGCTGGGAGCATCCTCAGAACGTGAAGCACTTGGGGTGGTGCCGGAGGCAGGCTCACGTATTCGTCGCAGTCAGCGCGCGGGGTGGGGCAGCGAATCGCACACGAGACGGCGCCACCAGCGCACATAATGCCAATTGCCTAGCTGGGCAGCTCCGCTCGCGTGGACTCCAAGCGGGTGCACAGGAGTGCGGGACGGGCAGGAATGACTGCATACCTACCTGCCTCGAGGCTCGAGGGCTGCGCTCTCGGACGGTCGTGCTCTCCCAAGTGAGGGGCAGACCACAAGAGCTGTGCAGGAGGCAGGCGTGCAGCCACGCCACGGAGAAAGCGAACGGGCCCGACAGCTGGCCAAGGCACCCCGAGGTGGCGCCAAGGTAGGCCGACCAGAGCAGAGGGCCGCAGGGCGGCGGGGGACGAACGGGAAGGACGGGGAGAGGCCGAGAACGGCCACGCATCGCATCCAGCGAGCTGGGCAAGAAGGAGCGAAACGCACGGCAGCGCAAAGGCGCTGCCAAAGACGCTGGCCCAAAGCGCATCTGCCAAGGGTGCGGACAAGGGCGCGAGGAGATGGAAAGCGCCGCCAGGGCCAAGGCGGTAAGCCACCTCTGGCAACCGAAGCACGAGAAGACGGAGACAGAGAGACGGCTGGCTGGCCCCGAGGCAAGAACAGCGCCAAGCGCGCAAGGAAAGAGGCAAAGGCGGAGCGCCGCGAGAGTGGAGAGAATCTGAGCAAAGGAGTGCAGCAGGCCACAGGCCGGCGACGCCGAGAGAACGCGGCGAAAAAGCAGCGGCGCGGCGAGTCGCCAACACCAGGGAGAGAGGGAGAGGAGGGGGGAGCCGAGCGGGAAGGGAAGACGACAGGCCCACGGCCAGGGACGCCAACAAAATCCTAGAGGCAGCCACGGCAGCTCGCCACACCATCACAAGGCGAACAAGCAAGGGCGTGGCGAGAGGTAACATCAGCGAGAAAGCAAGTGAGATGAGAAGAGGCGAGGCGAGCGCGCGGGCTCGTCGGCGGCGGGGGCCCTGGGGGCCTGCGCTCACCCCATAGCATATTGAATGAATTTGCCATGCTGAGCAGGGGTCCACCGAGGCAAAGGCGCCGAGCCGAGGACGGGCAGGCGAGCCAGCAGAGGGCGGCGGCGCGAGGGGGAGAGGGAGAGGCGTGGGCCGGGCGCCAGGCCATGGAATGGCGACGCCTCGCCACAGCGGGGCGAAACGTAGCGGGAGGCTGGAACACACACACACACACACAACCACACACACACACACACACACGGCTGGATTCACATGTAGAACATCCAGAGGCCACGCGCTGGATACACGTGCCGAAACCCGGCCTACACACGTCCATGGAAGGGCCAAACGCTGGAAAGACGTCTGGCCACATGTGTATCGGGCTCTCGCCCAGGCCGGCCGCCTCACGTGTATCCAGTTCCCTGGGCACCCAGGAGGACACGCCACACCATCGAAGGACCCGCACGAATGGGCCCAACGTGGGACGGAGCCAACGGGTCAAGAGCCGGGCGGACGGCCGCTCCGGAGGGCAGGATCGAGGGCAGGGCAAGGCAACACGGCGCTCACGAACCGCCAGGCATACTATAACGGAGAGGGCGGAAAAGGGCGCGGCCAGGCGCTCGAGCCCACCCCGCGCCCAAAGACGGAGCGGACCGAATCTCACCAGCCCTCTGGGCGTAGGTGGTTTCGCGAGACAATTCTTCCAACCTCCGTCCCTTGCGGGGACAGGTTTACCTCTCCCCCTCCCCCCCCCTTCCTAGGTCTCGACGGGAGAGGGAGTGCGCGACGCGTTAGAGCGTCCAAGATGGCACAAGCCGGCCCCAGAAAGCCCTAGCTGACCTCCCAAATGGCTCTATCGATGTGTGTACAGATATGTATATATGTATCCCACTGTGGCTCCGGATAGTCTCCAACATGCCTCCAAGAGGCCTCAAAAGCGCAACAAGACGGCTCCGAGTGGCACCCGGACGTTCCATTGAGATCCTCCCAAGTCTAACGAAAACAATGGTGCGTGCCTTCTCGCCTTGTCGCTCCCAATGGGCTCTTGCTTGAGGGCTCAGGATGGCTTCGAGATCGTCCGCGACAGCTCCAAGAGGCGCCCATGAGCAGCCAAGAGCGCCCCACGAGCACCCCAAAGGAGCCCCACGAGGCGACCTGTCCGTCTCTGACTGGGGGGGGGTGGGGGGGCGTAATCCGCGCCGCCCTCGTTCTTAATCGATGGTCTCCAAGATAGCCCAGAGAGGGCCCCCAACCCAAGATGACTCTTGTTGTGGTTGACGGCGACACGGTGCCTATGCCGTAGACGCCGCCCTCGGCCGGAGGCCGAGAAAGTAGTTAGGGGTTAAGGAGATGCCACCCTAGAGCCGCCTCGTGGCAGCTCTGGGGTGGAACCAACTGTGAAAAAGCAAGGCAGGGCGACCAGCAGCCGAGGAGGAGACTGCTGGCCGCCGCACTGGTCCTGGCCCCCGTCTGTGCCAGGGGTGACGAAAGTCCCCTCCCAAGTCGAAGGCGGTGGCCAAGTCGCCAACCGCAGTCAGGGATATCACACTGAAAAGTCATGTAAGGGACACGCTTCGGTGCCAGCGGGAATTAAAATCTACACAAACCAGCTTTGGGCGAGTCCCCCGAAGGCCGAAGGAGAAGACGACGACGAACCGACCCCCCCGCAACACGGGACACCCCCCTCCGCAGCCGCAACCCCTGCGCGAGCCGCACCACATCGGCGGGCATCCGCGCGCCTTATGCCCAGGCTCCCCCCCACGGAAGGGGAACCAGCAACCAGGCGTCGGCAGATCGCTGCGCAACCAGTGTAGATTGGGGCGCCGGGAGAAAGGCACGAAGCGTCAAGGAGCCCCGCGCGCAAAGGAGCCCGGCGCGTCGCGCGGCCCCTCCCCCAGCGGGCCCGGGATGTCAAACCCGGAGTCTCAGCGGCAGGCCCTCCTCTGGCCGCCGGCGACTGGGTAAAGCCCCCGTCCATGCACGCCCCTGCCCCGCAGTGGAGGCAGGGGCCGTCTGCGTCTGCTGGAGGCCCCCTCTACCTCCTTGGCCTTGATGCCCTCCGCCGCTTGTGGGGAAAGCTGGCCTTCGACAAAACCTGCCAGTATCGAGGTACCCCCGGCCACCACGAGGAGGTTTGCAGTCCGTCGTCGACCAGGGCCCCGAAGAAGGCCCCCAAGAGGGACCCCAAGAGGGCCCCAAAGGCTTCCAAAATGGCCCCAGGAGGGTCCAGAGATGGCCCAAGTAAGCTACCGAGAGGCTCTCATATCGAAAGATTCGCGCAGGCATTTCTGGTTGACTCCTGGGCCTGCTCGGGCTGCTCCCGATCATCGCTGTGACGGCTACCCACCTCTTTGTTCCACGGCTTGCTCCTGCACTTCCCTGATCAACGCAACTCGCATTGGCGTCGGTTCTGATGAGCTGGCGGGGGTACGCAAAGCGTCAACAGTTTACGAGGCCAACGGAAGACGACCTGAGGGAGCTGAGACCAGGTGGCGGGACGGCCCGGGAGAGCAAGCTAGCCGAAGGAGGAGAGGGCAGGGGCAACATCAGAGGGGCGGCCGCGGCCAAGCCGCAGTCGGCGAGAGAAACCGAAGCCGTTCTCGGCACTCTCGCAGCTGGCCTCGCCAGACCCCGACCCGCAGGTGCCCTGCCCAATCGCAAGGTGGCCACCCGCCCCGGCGTGAGCATCCGCCCGCCTCCGTGCCGCCGCGGGATCGCCGAATGTGGCGAGGCCCGGGCCTCGCGCGCCGTGCTGCGCCGCTCTCCGGGGGCGGGACAGCGGGGGCCACGGGCCGCTACTCGCATTCGCCTCGCGCTCGCGGCCCTCGCTCTCCAGCCCGCGCTCGCCCTCGTCATCATCGGAGGCGACTTCGTCTCTCGCCCTGTTGCCCCCGGCCGCCTCCTCGCGCAGGGGGCCGAGGGCAGTCTGGCCGCGCCAGCCGAGGGCAGTCCGCACCCCACAGCACGGCGAGGGCCGCTCGCAGGGCGAGGAGAGCCTTCCCCAGCTCGGCCGCGACGACCCGAAAGCGCGAGTTTCCCCTCCGCGGTGGTCAGAGGCGCCCCCTCGATGTGGGGCACAGCCGTGTCCCACCTGGAGGCAGCGTCGGCCTAATGACGCCGCCTCCCACGGGTTCTCCGTCGGGCCGCCCGTCGGCCCGCTGGTCCCCGCTGAACCTGCTGGTTCCCATCCTGCTTCTCGATCGCTGCGAACGAGCTCGGGGGTGAAGCGGCCACCAAGCCGTGCACTCTGCGGCTTCCATGCTGGCGTCGGCGCCTTTGCAGAGTCGAACTGGGACATCTGCACACGGCGCGCTGGACGCGGGAACTTACGCTTCCGCCTCGGGTCAGCCCCTGAGCGCAGGCTGCGTCCTGGCGGGAAGAGGACAGTGCGGAGCAAACGGCAGCTCCACGGGCGGAGCGCCGTCACCCTCCTTCTGAGTTCCGCCGCGCGCGCGACGAAGCCCGCTCCTCTTCGCGCAGAGCAGGACGAGGGCAGCACTCCCTTCGGGCCGGCGCTTAGCTTGGTAGGTCTTGCCAGGCGGGCTCACCACGGTGGCTGCCCGCTGCCCCCCTGCTTACCAGGACGCACAGCGGAGGCGCCTCTTGACCACCTCGTCCTTGGGGCCGCCGGTGAGGTGACAGATTGGCTCTACGCTCGCAAGCCCATCGAGGAAGAGGTCCACCGCGGCCCCTTGTTCGCCGCTGCGCTCCTTTATGCCGCTTTGTCGCCCAAGTCTAAGATCCTGCTCTGGCGGGCGGGCGTGGCATGGGAGGCCTGGAACATGTTCCCCGTCGTTGCATTAACATCCGTCTGCTGAATCTGTGAGTGCCACGAAGCGCCCCCGACCGTTGGCAGCGGTGCGCCTTGGGGCCGCCGTGCGGGTCCCTTTTCCGTTTCGTGGTGGTGGCTGCACATGCCACATGCCCGAGTCCTGAGCTCGCTGGCGCTGGCGCTGCCGCTGGGGCCTCCATGTCCCAAGGCGCCTTAACCCAGATAGGTCTTTAGAAATCCCCTGGCCAGTAGATGGAAAATAAATATCTTTCGGGCGAATTTATTGGCAATGCGGAAAAACGACCCCGCCCGACAATAGCGGAAAATAATTATAGTTCGGGCGGTCCGATGACGAAGACGAAGACGAAGACGATAACGAGTACGTGTGCGATTGCGACTACGAAAGCGATGCGACGACGAAGACGAAGACACATGTGCGCGGCGCTAAGGCGAGAGCTGGATTTTGAACCACACCAGCCCTCGATCCTTGTAGCTGCTACAAACTTTTAAGACGAGAGTGCGCGGCGCTGAGACGAGAGCTGCACTTTGAACCACACCAGCCCTCCACCCTTGTAACTGTTGTAAACTTTTCAGACGAATGCGCGCGGCGCTGAGACGAGAGCTGCACTTTGATCAACGTGCGGCCTCTATCCTTGAGACAAATGCAACCTTTTAAAGCCAGAGTGCTCGGCGCTAAGGCGAGAGCTGCACTTTGAACAACATGCGCGCTCCATCCTTGAAACTGTTGCCAACTTTTAAGACGAGAGTGCGCGGCGCTAAGGCGAGAGCTGCACTTTGATCGACATGCGCCCTCCATCCTTGTAACTGTTTTCCTCAGAGCACCCGTCTTACGAAAGTCCCCCAAAATCCTCACGCGTGTAGGGTTGCCCATGCGGCATTATTCCCTGGGAGGAACAGCCCCCAGACAACAGCGCCCGCGCGAACAATAGCGGGCAAAATTTTTGTTTTCGGCCGCGATGGTTTCAGAATCCTTTCAAGATGGCTCATGATGGTTCCAAGACAACTCCAAGACAACGCGAGCAGGAACCACTTCAAGAATTCCGAACAACAATTCTACATTACAACCGTCTTACGAATGTCATCACAAATCCTCACGCGTGTAGGGTTGCCCATGCGGCATTATTCCCTTGGAGGAACAACCCCCAGACAACAGCGCCCGCGCGAACAATGACGGGCAAATAGTTGGTTTTCGGCCGCGATGTTGTGTTCGAGCCACTCAATTGAAGCTGTTGCAAACGTTTAAGACGAATGTGCGCGGCGCTAGAGCGAGATCTGTCCTTTGAACAACGCGAGCCCTCCATCCTTGAAGCTGTTGCAAACTTTTAAGACGAATGTGCGCGGCGCTAAAGCGAGATCTGCACTTTGAACAACACGAGCCCTCCATACTTGAAACTGTTGCAAACTTTTAAAACGAATGTGCGCGGCGCTGAGGCGAGGGCTGCACTTTGAACAACACGAGCCGTCTATCCTTGAAACTGTTGCACACTTTTAAGACGAATGCGCGCGGCGCTAAGGCGAGATCTGCACTTTGAACAGCACGAGCCCTCCATCCTTGGAACTGTTGTAAGCTTTTAAGACGAATGTGCGCGGCGCTAAGGCGAGAGCTGCACTTTGAGGAGGAGGAGAGGTTTCGGGAGCGGACGAGTTTCGGGACGAGTTTATTCACCGCGGAGAGCTCCAGGGGGCGGGACCAACACTAAATACGTAGCGCGGTTATTGTGTCTGGACACCCGTCCCGTCCCACTTGTCCGCTCGATTGTTCGTGGCCGCGCGAGCCGCTCGGCTGTGGCTGCGCGTGGCGCTCCTGCCGCGGCGCCTGGGCGGCGTCTGGAGCCTGCTTGCCGACTCAGGACCACGGTAAGCCCACCGCAAGACAAGCACGTGAGCGAGGCGAGCGCTACCCGCCCTGGGGAAGGCGCGCCCTGGCTGGCGCCGCTGCGGCCGCTTGGGTCGCGGAGACCATCGGCCGCGCCACCTCCGCTGCCCGCGTCGCGCTCCTGGCGCGCGACTTGCACTTGATCCTGCTTCAAGCCGAGCGCGACAGCGAGCGCAAGCGGGTTGCCCGCTGGCTGGCCGCCGTTGCCGGCCATGCACGGGCCGACGCGACGAGCGTGAAGATGGCGATGAGTGGTGATGGTAACGGTGAGGGCGGCGGCGACGATGGTGATGATGATGATGTGATGCGAATGTGGCGATGACGATGATGCTGATGCTGCTGATGATGACGATGATGACGATGGCGATGATGATGAGGGTGATGACGACGATGGCGATGATGATGATGATGATGATGATGGTGATGATGATGATGATGATGATGGTGATGATGATGATGATGGTGGTAATGATGATGATGATGATGACGATGATGCTGATGATGCTGATCAGGATGATGATGCAGATAATGATACTGATGCTCATGATGATGATCATGATGATGATGATGCTCATGATGATGCTGCTGATGATAATGACCATGGGTGATCATGGTGATACTGATGCTGATATTGTTGATGATGATACTGATGTCGATGTCGATGACGATGACGATGACGATGGTGATGGTGATGAAGAAGAATATGAGGAAGATGATGGCGACGGCGACGGCGACGGCGACTATGATCTCGATGATGACGGCGACGGCGAGATCATGATGCAGCAGCAGCGGCCCTTTCGATAGGTCCCAGCGCGCCAGGTTGGACAGCGCCGCGAAGGCCTGCGCCTAGAGGGGGCAGGGCAGGAAGGAATGAAGAGGGGGGATCCGACCTTTCCCCCTCTATCCCTTCCCCCTTTCCTCAAACCCCCATCACCCTCCTCAACCCCTCCTGAACACCTCCCCCATTCTTCTTAGCCAGTCTACGCCGCCACCCCCCTTCACCCTGTATCCCCCTCCCCAATTATCCTCCTCTCCCCTCCTCTCCTTCCCATGGCCCATGGCCATTCAAAGTACTTCCGACTTCCTACGGCCTGCCTGTCTAGCATGCTTACTTGTGTCACCCGTTCTCCCCTTTGCCGCATACACCCTCCTCCACCTCATGCAGCCCCTCGCTCCCCATGCGAATGTGTTGATGCTCATGGCCCACTCCGCCGAGCCTTAGCGACTGCCACTGGGATCCATCAAGAAGGACTTGAGCACGCCCAATCGGTCTGTTCACACACCGCGTAGAAGCTTAAATAGAACGCTTGCATCATCCTCATCCTCATCCTCATCCTCATCATCATCAGCATCATCAGCATCATCAGCATCATCAACATCGTCAGCATCAGCATCATCAGCATCAGCATCAGCATCAGCATCAGCATCAGCATCAGCATCAGCATCACCATTATCATCATCATCATCATCAACATCATCATCATCATCATCATCATCATCATCATCACCATCATCATCAGGCCGTCCCGGCCGAGCTTGCCAATGCCACCCTCGGGGACGTTGCCTTCGGTCCCAAGGCCAACAGAGCTGCATCCAGGTCCTACCTCACGTGCACACACGAGCAACAGCGACCTCAAGCGCCACTTTTTTGTGGATGCGTCAGGGTCGCCAGCCGCGGCGCAGGGCGCTGCAAGCGCAGGCCACAATTCCGCCCCGCGCATGCGATCTGGACCTCCCGCAGCGCCGCCGCCTGTTCCCGGAAGCCCCTGAGGAGCATTCCTATCCCCAAGCGGTCCCTCCGCCACTTCTCCTCCTAAACTCCACCTGCTCACTCTCAGTTTAGGCTCAGGCCATTCTGGGCTCAAGGGCAAACCATGGCTCAGAGCTGCTGACCCAGGCGCGGTCTGGGCCCCGCGCAACTACTGGGCAACACGCCTTGTTTCCATCGGCAGCGAAGAGACGCATGGGCGGGCACCCGGTCGAAGGAAAGAACTCATTGTGATTCTGACAAAGGACGCCAATGGCCAGAATCAGCCGTACGGCTAAGCCGTGAACGGGGCCAAGAACGCTGAAGGGGAGACAGGAGAAGAGAGGACCCGCCGGATAGCTCTGAGTGCCCGCCGCCGGACGGCATGGACGTGCAGGCGGGCAAGGGCGAGGTTTTGATTGGTGACGCCGATGGCTTGAAGCCGAAGCACGGCTCGGGCAATAACAAGGCCAAAGATGCCGAGGGAAGGCAGACGAGAAAAAAAGCCCGAGAACGCAGACGGTCTCGAGTCATAAGCGGAGGCAACATGGATGTGAAAACGGCTACGGGGCAGAGTATGAATGCGGACGCCGATGGCCCGAGGCCTACGCTGGAGAGCGGCTTGGGCGAAACGTTGTGAGGAAGGTGGACGAGACACTGCTCAAGAACGCGGACGGTGTGCAGGCCATGAGGCAACACGATAAGGATAAGAACATGGCAGAGGGAAATCAACTAGTCAAGGGCGCAACCGGATGAAAGCCAGTGTCAAGGACCGCTGGGAGGAGCACGAAGCCAACGGCGAGTATATCGAGTCCAGAGTTCCGACAGCTCGAAGCCCACGCAGTTCACTGAAATACTGGCGGACCAAACTCTGCAGCAAACACCCAGGACAAGAAGCATGAACTTGGAGGAGCAAGATCCAGACTCACGCAGGCCGTAGAGCAGTCACAGCACCAGAGGGCGATCATCAGAGACCAGCTCGTTCGCACGAATTCCATATTCCTGCCCAAGCTGTCTCGGAAGCTCACATGCATGACGATGGAGATGCGCACCAGTGGAGGTGCCTCTTTCAAAATACTGCAACTCAGGCTGAACTCAAATGAGTCACGCGCATTGTGGACGCAAACAGTGGACAGGGGTTAACCCCGCATTGTTGACTTCAACTCGAGCTGAGGGTAGAGACCCTCGCTGTGCACCTCAGTGGTGCAGTTCTCGGCGAGGCGCAGGGGGAGGCAACCTGCGGCGCGGGGAGAAGAAAAAGATCGGCAGCAAGTGCCCTGCCCCTCCGCCCTCCCGTGAGACCTCCCAGCGGGAACTCGCCGCGCTTCAAGAGGCAAGGAATTCACTGACGGGGAGCGGCAGTGTGCGCGGCATGCCCGGGGCTTGGGAACGGGCTCCCGACGCCCCGAGTGATCCCCAACAGACCACACCCCATTACGTTTCTATATCACGTGCCAGCGCCCTCGTCCTTTTGTCCCCTCCTCCTACTCCTCCTCCTTGATCCCCTCCTCCTCCTCCTCCTCATCTTCCTCCTCCTCCTCCTACCTCTTCCCCCCCGTCCCCCCAGAGGCCCCGCTCCTATTCCAGGGTGCCGGACCACTGCGTGCCGCCAGTGGCGACCGCATCGGTGAAGTCACTATCGCAGGTCAGCCACTGCGTTTCGTGTCCCTGGACGGGAAAGTCCTGTGAGAATGCGCGTTCCCCTCCAACGGCAACAGCACAATAACTGTTGGAAACTCTCCCGCTGGCCCCAGAGGCCTTGAAAACGGCGCCCAAGAGGCACCGCGACAACTAAGCAACGCCACGGCCGTGCCGCGATTCGCCTTTGCTCGGATCCCCGAAAACGGGGCGGTGGACATTCGCGGCAGCGCAACCGGGTACCCGTCACACACCTTGCTATCCCCTGCTATTGCCCCTTGCCTCGCTGGAGCTTGCTCTGTTGTCGGCCTGACACCGCCCCCCAGGCCGGTTCCCAGCGCTGGAGCGGCTCCTGCAGTCCAAGGGCCGTCCTATGCTGCTTCATCGCTGCGACGACGATCTGCGGCCCGCCGTTGGCAGAGATCTGCCTCAGCGGGAAGGGCTGCAGTAAAGGAGGAGGCAGGTTAGGGAGCGAGGCGGTGGACCAAGCGCACGGTCGATAATCTGCTGGTCAAAACACTGCAACCCTTCCTTTTCAAACTCTCAACGCAGTCGACGCCGGCGAGCACACGTCGATGGGATGCTTTCGCAGCAGAGAGAACCGCGAGGGAACATAGCTTACATTCAGGGAGCGAGATAAATCAAAATGCATGGGGGCATCGGCAACGGTACACATTGCTGCAAGGTCCGTTTTGAACCCACGGAGTCAAAGAACAACCGTCCCCAGAGACTTGAACTGCAGCAGGATGTGTCCTCACAAGAGGTGTCAACGCACGAACACACACTAACTCCTCCAGAGCCGTCATGGAACACGAGCGGGTTTGAGAACCTTCGGGCAGCGAGAACAAACGAATCGCAACGATGCCTTGCCAGCCGCAGCCTGAGGGGCAGACTGGGGCAGGAAGTGCCAGGAAACAAGCGCACGCAACAGGGGGGAGGCCAGGTGAGGAGAAGAGATTATAATAAGCAGCCGAGTGCGCACGCACATGAACAATCAAGGAAAATCAACGAGTCTGGCCACACTGCCGCGCGGCTCCTCTCCAGGTGCCTGCTGGAATAATGCCGATATAAGTCCAACTGACGCTGCCTTGTACACGTGCATTCTCAGCGTGCACCATCACGTCCCCTGACCACACCTGCCGTGTCGACCCCGCGTGCGGGGCATTGCAAGGCCTGAGAGTTCCACAGAACAGAGCCGAAGGCCAGGCGAACAGCGGGACGGAAGACGGGCGCTCGGCGAGCCCCACGGCGCTCAACGGCGCGGCGCAACGCCGACTGCTGCTGTGCGCGCTCGGGCGTGCACGCGTCGCACCCGGCGAGCCAGAGGCGGCGGTGAAGTCTAGGCAGACGGAGGGGCAACCGCCAGGACGGGGAAACGCAAGGCCGTGGGCCATCACGAGGGGTTTGGGAGGGAGCAGCGGGCGGGGGCCAGGCAGGGAGGGGCCGGAGGCAGGCAGGGCTCTCGAACGAAGAGCGCGCGGCGGACGTCGACAGCAAGGCCGGGCGGACCGAGCGCCAGGAGGAGGCCGAGGGGCAGGGGAGCGGAAGGAGGGCGGAGGCCACGAAGGGAAGGGGAGACCGGGAAGGGGCGACCGACCAGGAGCACAGAGAGGGGGGCCCCGGCCTGGATACATCCATGAGGTCGAGTGGACCCGGCCTGCAGCGCACGGCAACGGCCGCGGGGACTGACGCTGCCCACAACACGGGCGCGAGACGCCGCGGTGAGGGGGCGAGGGGAGGCACAGGAGGGAGGCGAGAAGAGGAGGCGAGGACGGAGGGGGGCCGACGGCAAGCCTGGCGGGCGCCAGGCAGGCGCCGGAAACTGAACAGGGCGCCTGGCACAAGCAGCAAGAGACGGGGCAGCTCCGAGGGCGGAGGTGGCAGGAGGAGAGGAGGGAGGCAGGCGACTGAGCCTGGGGAAACGCACTGGGAAGAGCGCTGCAAGAAGCACCGCCTGGCAGCCAACTCGAGCACGCCGGGCCATTTGCCGAGCCCGGCTCAGGCAGGGAGAACGACTGTACCGCCTGCAGGCTGGCCAGGTCGGGCACACGAGAAAAGCCAAGGAGCAGCTCCTGGACGCCCCTGCAGCCTGGAATGTCACTAGCAACGACAGTCCGTGCCTGGGCAGCGGGGCTACCCGGAGCGATCAAGGGGGAGGCGCGGGGCACAAAGTGTTGCTAAAATCCTTCCTAGGTGGACTTGCTGCTTTGAGGGTTCGTTCGCTCTGCCTGCCTGTGAGGCTGGCACTAGCCCTGGAGCCTCCCACGAACTGCTGTTTTGAGGTCTGTGGTGCTTGACTTGACTTGGCTTGGCCTCGGCGTAAGCGTTCGTTTTCGTGTTCGTTCTCGCTCTCGCTTTGACTTGTGTGAGCTGGGCTCCAATCCGAATGTCACTATTTCAGCTGTGCACTTCCTGCACATTAACTTCGTGTGGCTCTAGCTTCAGCTGCAGCTGAGGCGCCTACGAGGCGTCTAAGGGGCACCTGAGAAGCAACGCAACAGGGATGCTGTGTGCAGCCAGTCACCGTCACGGCGTGTCCGAGCTGCTTCCCCATGCATGGTGGCGGATATGCGCGGCAACGTAGTGGGTGTTCGAATCCTTGCTTTGCCATTCCCAGCATGGCGCCTGCGACGTAAAATACACCATGCTGGCACCGTGGCCCACGCACCTGTGGCTTCGTCCTTGGTCGTCTTCCACGGCGGCCGTGATGAATCGCCTGGTGTCAGGGAAACGCGTATGGATCGATGTGGCAGCTCAGCGACCCGCTCCAAGACTCACACGATCTCGTTCAGCACACAGGGTGGCGCCCCCACGGGCGGAAGCGGAGGAGGAGCGCACGCAGCCCTGAGATCGAGTCCAAGGGCTCAGCGCCCGAGCTCGCTCCCGCTGGCTCAGTCAGCTGCGAAGGCAACCCGAGCCACCCCCACACCTACCACATCACATGTTGTACTTTCAAAGCTTCTCTCCTGGGCCTGCGGCCCGACGCCTGCTGGCGAGGCCCCTGGAAATTCGCAGAAAACGCAGCCGCCGAGCAGCGGGCAAAACCGCGGAAAAAAACATGAAGCCAACATTGGTTTCATTAAGCGCCCAGAACTGTTCAATCAAATGTGTCATGCGAGACAATCCCTGAAGCATTGCTCAAATCGTGTGTTTGCGTGCATGCACCGGCACATGTTTTACAAAACGCAGACGCGATTCACATAACGAAAATCCCGATCGGTTTGATCAACATATCTATCCGAAACCAGAATGTGGCGATTTGTATTATTCGCCATGGGAGCGCGTCGACCACATCCACAGGCGATCCGAAACGATGCAAGCATCGCCCTGGTATGTGCGGGGGTGGGTTGTTGTCTCTAGAAGCTGATGACGACCTAGTCATTGTGGTCGCCGAGAAAGGCGAGGGAGGAAGAGTAGGAAGGGGAGGATGAGGAAGACGGGTCCTCGCCCATTGCATCTGTCTGGGACGGCTCTCGCGCGAAAGAGCGGTCGGGCCATCCGTGCCTTTGCAAACTCCGCTCTCGTCCTCCTGCTTCTCCTCCTTTTCCTCCTCATCTCCTCTCCTCCCCTCTCCATCCCCTTTCCCTTCCCCATCCCTTTCCCCGTCCCCGTCCATCTCCTCCTCCTCCTCCTCCTCCTCCTCCTCCTTTGTGCTCCTCCTCGTCCTATCATCCCACCTACTGCTCTCCCTCCGTTTCCTTCCCTCCCCCATCCATCATTCACCCTACCCCTTGCCCCTATGTGCCTCCCCCCTCCTGTCCTTCCATCCTCCCTCTCTCCTCTGTTCTCCATCCTCCTTCCTCCCGCAGCCCGAGGCCTCGGAAGGTCGCCCGGGACGATTGCGATGCGGGCGCCAAGCGGAAAAGCCCTCGGAGAGGCGCCACGGACGGAACACCTCTCAGGGCGACGTGCCCGACCGGATGCCGGGCCCCCCAAGGAGCAACGAAGGGCGAGCCATGCGCACCGCCCTCCCCAGAGAGCCACAAGAGGTGGCTGCGTGCCCCGCCTGGGCACCGTCTCGCTGTCGCAAGCCAGGAATCTCAGCACCGTGCAGCCTCGAAAGTGGTGGGAGGAACGAGGGGGACAGAGAGGCAAGCTGGACGCGCTGTCGCAATCACATCTGACATCCTGCCCCTCCCGCCCATCCCTTCCCATTGCGCTGAATCCCACCAGCGATCTGGGCATAGGTGGCCTAACGAGTTCGTTCTTCCCTCCTCCCAAGCCCCTCCTCTCTTCGGGAGGGCTTCCTTCCCCTCCCCTCCCCAAGTTGTTTGGTGGGGGCTCGCGAGGTGGCAGAAGGCTCTTTTTCGCCCAATCCGACTCTCAGAGGGCATCCGATGCTCAAAATTGTCCTCCAAGGCGGCTCAAGATAGCCGACGACAGATTTATTGTTAAGAAAGCCTCCAATAAGTCCCACGAGGGCCACAGACGGTTCCAAGTGCTCGCGGAGCCCGCTCACCCCCCCGGGATGCCCAAATCCGTCAAAAACCGAAGGGAAATCGATGCTGGGTGCATATTCGCCTTTTCGCTTCCGATACGCTTTGGAGGCTTCAAGATAGGCCCAAGATGGCCCAAGGGAGCCCCAAGAAGGGCCCAAGAGGCCCCGCAGACGGCCCCAAGAGCGCCCAAGAGCGCCCCCCAAGGTCGCCACAAGAGGGCCCTAAAAGACGGGTTTGAGGGCTCTTGAGGGGGTACCTTCGATAAAGGACCGCCCAGCAGGGCTCGCAGGAGGCCCCAAACAGGGTTCTCGGAGGGCTCCAAGAGGGCCCCAAAACCTTCCAAAAGAGCCCGAAGGGGCCCCAAGAAAAACCCAAGAGGGCCACGAGAGAGCCCCAGGAGGACCCCAAGATGGCCTCAAGAAGACCCCCCAGATGGCTGCCAAAGTCCTCGTCCTCATCCTTCTCGTCCTCGTCCTCCTCGTCCTCGTTCTCCTCGTCTCCTCCGACATGGAAGTGGCACTGCATGCGGACCCTGCCGCTGGGGCCCTCGGTGGAGCACACGACGGGGCCACGAAACGTGTGAGAGGTGCGCCGCAATGGAAGTGGAACTGCATGCGGGCCCTGCCACTGGGGCCTTCGGTGGAGCACCCTATTGGGCCACGAACCGCCTGAGGGGTGCGCCGACATGAAGGTGGAACTGCATATGGACCCTGCCACTGGGGCCTTCGGTGGAGCACCCTGCAGGGCCACGGAACGTCTGAGGGGTGTGCCAGTTTGGGGGTGGAGCTGCAGGCGGACCCTGCCACTGAGGCCTCCAATAGAGCACCTTAATGGGACCACGGAACGTGCGAGGGGTGCGCCGATGTGGAGGTGGAACTGCAAGCGTTCATATGACGACGACGAGGACATACGGAGGGCAGAGGCAAGGGATGGGAAGAGGGAGAAGGGGAGGAGGAGAGGAGGGGGAACACGGAGCGCTGTCTCTTCAAAAGCAAGGACCCAACACCACCAACTAGTGGGGAAAAACATGTAATACAAAAATGCGGCCGACGGAAGGGCGAAGAAGAGTGGGAGCGCGGGGGGACTAGAACCCCAACCAGCGCCTGCTCACCGGGCCCACTCACAACTGGCAGGGCATGTCCTTGAGGGCATGATGCAGGTCGTCTCGAGGAACCCGAAATGCCCATAATGGGAAACGCATGTTTACACCACAGCGCCCACTGAGCCCGCGCCTGCAACACGCCCAGGGCAGAAGACCAATGTGTGACCCAGGCCGCCTGCCCCATCATGATACTCATGTGAAATATGTGTCAGTGCGAACGGTACCACTGAACCCCGTCATACGGCACGACCTCGGCGGACCCACCCAGCGGACGGGGCGCCCACCAGCGCCCAGGAGAGGGCAACGTGGAAAATCCTTGGAGGGCCCGTCCAATCACTTAAGCAAGATAGGTAAGATGCAAGCACTGTGTGAGGAGGAAGTAATGGCCCCGAAGAGCAAGTTCTCCCTGGGGAACAGAATGTCCTCCTGCCACTCCGCGCATCCCCCAGAGAGTACCCACGCCCCGCCCCGTCCAGGCCTTTCTCCTGCACGTCCACGCTCGATGGCAGCTTGTGCATGGCGTTGAGCATCGCCTGCGCCGGCCCGAGGGGCCAGCCGAGGGCGATCTGGCCGTGGTGACAGGAGGGGCGGTCGGGTCGGGCGAAAAGACTTTTCCGCCATCGATCACGCACTTCCAGCCAACAAACGCGAGGTCCCTTGACCTGATCCATGAAACGTGCGCAGAGAGTGAAGACGGAAGTGAAAGAAAAGGAAAGACAGAGGGAGGAAAGGAGAGAGCAAACCAGGAAAACAGACACCCAACTCAGGATGTCGGAAGCAAGTGTCGCGTGTGTCCCCCCATGTGGCCTGACTGGCCATCAACGTAACCAGGCCTCACGCACTGGTGCACAGGGAGCAGCAACCCACCGCACTTCCAATGTGAAGTCACGCAACGCCGCGAATGATGGAAACAAAAAAGAAATTCCTGCCAGGCCCATGTGGGGGAAAGAAAGAAGGAAGACAGGGCGGGGGAGGCCAGCGCAAGGTTCTACAACAACAGTAGGCTCAGCAAGTGAAGCAGATGCGGCCGGGCCTTGTTTTGTGAAGGATGCAAGCTGCACAAGGGCCCCTCCCCCTCCTCATATTCCTTATCCCTGGCGCTCCCCTCTCTTTGGCGCTTACTCCACTCCTTCATGCATGCGTTGATTGCTTGAGGTGCTTCTATTCTAGCTGCGATGTTCCTGGGCCCTTCTGAGAAGACCCCGCCATCCAAGAAGTCCATCGCCTCTTTGGAATCTTGGGAAGCCACCTGCTCTCTGCACAGTTAGTGCCGTCAGACAGCGGAGCCACGGGCGCGCCTGCAGCCCCTTCTGCTCAACGATCTTCGCCACGAGGTCCTGGTTTCCTCTGGCCAGGGCCCGGAGCGCGACGGCGGCGTTCGCCTGCGTGGGCGGACATCATCTCATCCATGCCCTGCCCGTGGCCATTCCACGAGGGGCCAGGGCGGGGGCACGGATCTAGATCCAGCCTCTGGAGGCCAAGTTTTATTCACGCCTACCATTTGGCGTCCACCCTTGGAGGCATCAACAGCAGTGGCATGGATCAAGCCCGACCCAGAAATACAGCCCCCCCTGGAGGCCGCGAGTCGCCTGCGGGCCTCGATCGCAGCGCTGGTCGGCGAGGATACCGCTCCCAGTCGCGCCAGGCTTCACTCCAAAGAGCACTCGGTCTGGGCTCAGTGTTCCCAATCTCCGGTGTCTCCTTCGTTGCTTGCCACGCCTCGGCCCAAATGCATAATCCAGCTGACGTTCATAAAAAAACAAATTTGGCCCACATCCATTTTCGCCTTACTATTTGCCCTCCTGGGGTCCAGCAAATCAAGCTAGAAATACTGTAACGGAACAGCCGGCTCCTAGACGTCCAACCGAAAGTCAAAGAACTATCTGAGTGCTGGGAGAAGGCCACACCTGCCGATGTTGATTGAACCGCCCATGACCCTGGACCTGTGAAAAGATCCCTAACCACGAATTGGGATGACGCACCTGATGGGTGCCACCAGCCTAGTTGAGCAAGAAGGATCATGGGTGCATGAGCACTCTGTCCACTCCAAAATTCGAAGCTCTCTAGAACACCATCTCTCACTCCGAAAGACATATCCCTGCCTTCTTAGCTGGATATACACATTCCACACACCTGCCTATACGACCGCAAACCGAACATATTTGGAACCATGTCAAGTGGAGCCTCAAATGCCGAACCAGCCCTGAGTAAAGCAACGTCGCAAATCAGGAAGGACAAAAGCCAAATGCCGAGCTGTGAGCTGGCCCTGCGGGGGGCGCGCATCCCACGCAAGCAGAAAGAAGTGTCTGGCTGCATGCCCCACTCAAGCCATCGGGCCAAGTGTTCCCCACTAGTGGCATACCACAACCCAGCGTACGAGAAATGAGCAACCCTGCGATCTTTCTTTCGAGCGCGCGCTGCCAGCACCCCCCCGGCCGCCGCAGGGCTCTCCCAGACAGACTCGAGAGAGCATGAGCACGCACGCATACAAACTTATATACATACATGTATTCACAAAATATTTGTATACATACACACACACTCGTGTATGTAAGAAACAGCGCGTTCTGTGGTCGCTTGGAGGGGGGGGGAGGACAAGACCCTGGATGGAGGGGGCTGGGGGGGTTCGACCACCCCCCTCTACTTTTCCTCGCTCCCTCTCCTCGGGCCAGCGCTTGCGTCGGTGGCGACTAGCGGCGGCGGCGGGGACGACGATTTCTTCTGGGCCGGCGCCGGCGCCAGCGGCGGTGGGCGGCGGCGGCGGGGAACGTCGACGAGGACGACGGTGGTGGTGGTGGTGGTGGTGGTGGTGGTGGTTGTGGTGGTGGGATGGTGGTTTGTTGTGGTGGTGGTGGTGGTGGTGGTAGTGGTGGTTGTGGTGGTGGGTGGTGGTGGTGGTTTGGTGGTGGTGTGGTGGTGGTTTGCGGTGGTGGCGGTGGCGGTGGTTTGGTGGTGTTTTGGTTTGTGGTGGTGGTGGTGGGTTGTGGTGGCGGTGGTTTGTGGAAGTGGTGTTGGTGGTGGTGTTTTGGTTTGTGGTGGTGGTGGTGGTGGTGGTGGGTCGTGCTGCTGGTAGTTGTGGTGGTTGTGGCGGTGGTGGTGGTGTTGTGGTGGTGATGGTAGTGGTGGTGGGTTTTTGTGGTGGTCGTGGTGATGGTGAGTTGTGGTGATGGTGGTTGTGGTGGTGGTGGTGGTGGTGGTGGTGGTGGTTGTTGGGTGGTGGGTTGGTGGTGGTGGTAGTGGGTTGAAGCGGTGGTGGTGGTGGTAGTAGTGGTGGTGGTGGTAATGGTGGTAATCGTCGCTGCGTCCCCGCCGTCGCCAACGCCAGCGCCGGCGCTGCTGGCCGCCGCCGGCGCCGGCGCCACGGGGGGGCGGGTTGAACCCCTCCCTCCCCCCGTGGGCTGCCTCTGGTCATCGTCGTTGCGTCCCCGCCGTCGGCGCTGGTGGCGGCCGCCAGCGCCGGCGCCGGCGCCGGCGCCGAAGGGGGAGGGGGGGTTTGAATCCCCCCACCTTCGGATAGGGGGGGGTTGGGGGGGAGGGGAGTCCCCCTGGTTTTGATCGATGGCGCCGAATGATGGGGGGGGAGGCCCACTCCCCGGTTCGAAACGCGCCGCCGAATGTTCCCAAGGCAAGCGCCCGTGAAACGCGCTCTCTCGTACGAAAGCAAATGCATCTCTATGTAGGTATATGTAGATGTGGATACAAACACGATGTACAACTTTATATATACATATATGTATATATATATATATACATACAGGGGCCTGGCCCGGTGGGGGTCCCAGTTCGAGCTGGCGCCGAAGACGCTATTTGAAGACGATATTCCCCCAAGAAGCTGCGGTGACGCCTCTATTCCGCTGACGCCTGGTGAAGCTCGTGACGCCTCTATTCGGCCTGAAGCCTCTATTCCGTTGATGCCCACTGAAGCTCGTGAAGCCTCTATTCGGCCTGAAGCCTCTATTCGGCCTGAAGCCTCTATTCGGCTCGTGACGCCTCTATTCAGCTTGCGAATTGCGACGCACTGGTGGGGTAGCGACCCTAAACGCGCCTATTCGGCCTGAACCCTTTATTCCCCTGACGCCCACTGAAGCTCGTGAAGCCTCTATTCGGCCTGAAGCCTCTATTCCCCTAGCGCCCGTTGAAGCTTGTGAAGCCTCTATCCGGCCTGAAGCCTCTATTCCCCTGACGCCCGGTGAAGCTCGTGAAGCCTTTATTCGGCCTGAAGCCTCTATCTATTCCCCTGGCGCCCGAAGCTCGTGACGCCTCTATTCGGCCTGAAGCCTCTATTCTCTTGACGCCCGGTGAAGCTCGTGAAGCCTCTATTCGGCCTGAAGCCTCTATTCCCCTGGCGCCCGGTGAAGCTCGAGACGCCTCTATTCGGCCTGAAGCCTCTATTCTCTTGACGCCCGTTGAAGCTCGTGAAGCCTTTATTCGGCCTGAAGCCTTTTTTCCCCTGGGTGCAGCCTCTATTCGGCCTGAAGCCTCTATTCTCTTGACGCCCGTTGAAGCTCGTGAAGCCTCTACTTCTACTAGGCCTGAAGCCTCTATTCCCCTGACGCCCGGTGAAGCTCGTGACGCTTCGCATGGTTCGTGCCCCAGGGGAGGGCAAATCTGTAAGCAATTCCGTCAAACGCGAAAGATTCGTGCCCCTGGAAAGGGGTCGTGCCCCAGGAGAGGGCCAATCACGCTAAGGATTCGTCCCCCATGATACGACCACTCTATCAGCACGCATGTGAAGCACGAAAGACTCACGCCCTAGGAGAGAGTCAATATATAGACGCAGACGTCCAACACTACGAGGGTTCTTGTTCCAAGAGAAGGCCGATCTATTAGCACATACGTTAAACACAAAAGGATTCGTACCCCAGGGGAAAGCTAATCTATATGCGCACACGTAATACACGAAGGATTCGTGCTCCAGGAGAGGGCGGATCTATATGCACATGCGTAAAGCACGAAGGGATCGTGCCCCAGGAGAGGGTAAATCCATTGGCGCATACGTAAAAAACGCAGGGCTCGTGCCCCAGGGGAAGCCGAATCTATAAGCAAATGCGTAATTAAAACACGAAAGATTCGCGCCCCTGGAACGGGCCAATCTAAAGGCATACGCGCGAAACACAAAGGACTCGTGCCCCAGGAGAGGGCCAACCTATACGCACATGTGTAAACACACAAAGGATGCGCGCCCCAGAAGAAGGCAAATCTTTAGGCATCACGTAACACGCTAAATATTCGCGTTCCATGATACGGCCAATATATAAGCACGCACGTAAACACTAAACATTCGTCCCCCAAGAGAAGGCCAATCTATAGGCACATGCGTGAACACACAATGGACTCGCGCCCCAAGAGAAGGCCAATCTATTGGCACATACGTTTAACACAAAGGATTCGCGTCCCAGGAGAGGGCCAAAACAGCTCCAGGAGGCACCGGGAGGGGCCAAGACAGCCCCAGAAAGCACCAGGAGGCCCCAGGAAGCCCTGGTGACCTCCGGGAGGCCCCAGGAGGCTCCAGGGGCTCACCGGGCTTTCTTGGTTTAATGATTCTTTTTTCATGAACCTGGGGAGGGCCCTTGCCTATCAGAGGGTGCCGCACAGCAAAGGGGCATGTCTAGCATCAAGGATCTCTTTTAATCAACTTGGCGAGCGGTCTTGCCTAGCATAGGGTGCCGCACAGCAAAAGGCATGTCTAGTACCAGGGATTATGTTTTAATTAACTTGGGGAAAGGTCTTGCCTAGCAGAAGGTGCCGCGCAGCAGAGGGCCTCACCTTGGAGAGGGTGCCGCACAGCAAAGGGGCACATCTAGAGCTAAGGAATCGTTTTTTCATCAACTTGGGGAGGGGTCTTGCCTAGCAGAAGGTGCCGCACAACAGATGGGGCAAGCCTAGCACCAATGATATTATTTTTAAATCAACTTGGGAAGGGCTCTTACCTATCAGACGGTGCCACACAGCAGATGGGGCACGTCTAGCACCACGGATTCTTTTTAAACCAACTTGGGGAGGGGTCTTGCATAGCAGAAGGTGCCGTTCGTCAGATGGGGCACGTCTAGCACCAAGGATTTGTTTTAACCAACTTGGGGAGGGCCATTGCCCAACAAAGGGTGCCACACAGCAGATGGGGCACGTCTAGGGTTCTTTTAAAATCAACTTGGGGAGCGGTCTTGCCTAGCAAAGGGTGCCGCGCAGCAAAGGGGCACATCTAGCACCAAGGGTTCTGTTTTGAATCAACTTGGGGAAGGGTCTTGCCTAGCAGAGGGCGCCGTGCAGCACATGGGGCACGTCTAACATCAACAGTTTGTTGTATCAACTTGGGGAGGGGTCCTGCCTAGCATAGGGTGCTGGACAGCAGATGGGGCACGTCAAGCACCAAGGGTTCCCTTTTAATCAACTTGGGAAGGGGTCCTCCGGTAGGGGTCTTGCCCAGAAGAGGGCGTTGCACGGCAGATGTGGCATGTCTAGCGACTCTTTTTAAATCAACTTGGGGAGGGGTCTTGCCTAGCAGAGGGTGTCGCACAGCAGATGGGGCACGCGTTGTGTTGGGCACGGAAAGCGTGGAGTAAAAGGGCACTTTCAAATTACAATTGGGAGGGGAGCACGTTGAATACTGGGCACGGTGAAGAAAAGGAGCATTTTCACAAGGAGTAGCGTCTTCACCGGGAGAGCGTATTCACCGGGGATATATCGTCTTCACCGGGAATAGCATCTTCACCGGGAAGAGCGTCTTCACCAGAGACAGCGTCTTCACATGCAATAGCGTCTTCACCGGGAATAGCGTCTTCACCGGGAATAGCGTCTTCATCCGGAATAGCGTCTTCACCCAGAATAGCGTCTTCACCTGGCACAGCGTCTTCACAAAGAACAGCGTCTTCACCGGGAATAGCGTCTTCACCCGGAATAGCGTCTTCACCCGGAATAGCGTCTTCACAGCGAATAGCGTCTTCATAGGGAATACCGTCTTCACACGGACTACCGTCTTCACAAAGAATAACGTCCTCACGCGGAATAGTCTTGACCCGAGATATAGCGTCTTCACCCGGAATAGCGTCTTCACCCGGATTAGCGTCTTCACCCGGAACAGCGTCTTCACACGGAATAGCGGTCTCACAAGGAATAGCGTCTTCACCGGGACTAGCGTCTTCACCGGGAATAGCGTCTTCACAGCGAATAGGCGTCCTCACCAGGAATAGCGTCTTCACACGGAAACGCGTCTTCATGGGGGAAGTGCTGTCTGTGTCCGCAGAACGCCTCTTCACCGGGAATATCGTCTTCACCCGGAATAGCGTCTTCACCTGGCATAGCGTCTTCACCGTCTTCACCGGGAATAACGTCTTCACCCGGAATAGCGTCTTCACCCAGAATAGCGTCTTCACCCGGAATAGCGTCTTCACCGTCTTCACCGGGAATAGCGTCTTCACAAGGAATAGCGTCTTCACAGGGACGCGTCGTCACAGGGAATAGCGTCATCAAATAGCGTCTTCGGCGCTGGCGCGAACTGGGAACCCCGGTTGCCGGGGTCATGTGTATATATGCATACATACAGACATAGACCAGGACAGGTAATGGATATGTGTGTCGATATGAATGCATACAGAACTTAATGGCTCGATTCGCTTCTACTCTTGGTCCTGCGTCGCTGTAATTTTGAGCACCAGGGGAAAAAGATGGAGAGGTGGGACGCTGTTCGAAGCAGGGCTGGGTGATCAAGAAGGAAGCATTGAACGCTCCGAAATCGGGCTTAGAAAACAGCGGGTCCGAGGAAGGAAACGTTGGGACGGATTTCGATACACACGGATGAGGATGACCCATCTCCTCATCTCCCGAAGAGCATGCGAGGGCGACTGGTGCGGGAACCTCGCGAGGGGTTACAACCATTAACATGGTTGAGGTTGAGGGCATGGCCGTGGCAAGGATCAAATCATGACTGCGAAGGGGCCGACGGTCATACAGGAAGGGGAGGTCACGGTGATGATCATATCATGTGGGGGCGAGGATGGTAACCGTGAGTAGGGTCTCGATCAAAATGGTGATGGGTTCCAGGTATATACCGGGAATGGGGCAACGTGATGACCACGAGACATGAGTCAAGGTCATGCCCGGCTAGCTTCCCACACGTTGCTGGAAAAATGGTTGGCCCCTCGGCGAGACGCAGCTGCTGGTGAGCTGTCGGAAGGGCAGCGGCAGGTCGAGCACAGCATCCCACCATCCCTCCACGGAGTGGTCGTCGGGCCATAACTCAGGCCTCAGGCGCCCGTTCGGGACGATCCAGGATACCCAGGTGTTTCTGGGGTACCTGGAAGGCGCAGCTGCTGGAAGGCATCATCGCGAGACGAGAGAACGTCCGAAAATCAACAAAATGTTGCATGAACCAGGATCCACGATGTCGCTTCAGGCACTTGCCCAAGAGAGCTAATGACGCTGCTCGCTCTTGGGACCCTGGGCTTTAAGGTTCGTTGCCAAATCGACTCTAAGTCCGTCACTGGGCCGTCTTGGGGCCCTGGGGAGCTTATAGAGAGGCTCTTCGAAGCATCGCGGGAGCCTCTTGGGGGTCTCTTGGATGCTTTCCGATGTGCCATCTTGGGTGCCTCTTGGAGGCCCCCGGGGCGTCTTGGGAGCCTCTTCTTGGGGTCCTCTTTGGCCGTCTTGGGGGGGAAGAGCTTACCCTATGCCCTACCCCCTACCCGAGAGCCGAAATCCAGGCGCAAGAGTTCAAGGGTGGTTTAGTCTCTCTGGCCGAAGACGCCGATCGGCGAAAACGCAGCGAACCAACCATTGACCCGTCTTGCTCCCAGAAAGGCGCCCTTAGGCGACACAAGAGGCCCCCAGGACGACACAGGAGGCCCCCCAGGATTACAAGTCTCTGGGCGCTGCCGCCGCCTTTTCGGAGCCCGCGACTGACCACCCACCAAGCCACTCCAACCCAACCCGAAGTCGCTGTTGGGCATTCCACGTTCTAGTGGGGGAGCGTTCGAGAACACCGAGAAAACACAGTGGAACCCGTACACCCCCCGACCCGAATTTTTGGGGGGGGGTCTGGAACCTTCGGGCTGGGTTGGGATGGTTGGGGCAATAGTGAGCGACGAGTTCTAGGGCATCCTGGGCCGCCCACAGGGACAGGACGGCAAGCAAGATGTGCGAATCGACGCGCCCTCCTCGACCCCCGCGGCCTGCAGTCGCGCCTCCTTCGGGTGGGCCTTCATGGAAACCACGATGGCCTCCACGCCCCCGGCAACGGAGATCGCCTCCTGCATGAGCGGGAGGGGATGCGGGCAAGACTTGGGTCCATATCCATTGCAGCTTGAATTTCGGAATCCAGTCCCCTGAATCCCGAGGCGCTCTGGATATGGATGAAAAAAGGTGGCCCCTGGAGGTTCGATGTTTATCCATATCCAGTGCGCCTCGGCCTTACGGCGCCCCTTCCAAGAAAGGGCAAGACGCACTGGATATGGGTGTGCACATTGCCCGCAGAGGATGTGACGGAGGAGGGGAGGCCCAGCGTCAGTGAACGCTGGTCCTCCCCCTCCTGCTGAAGGGGGAGGGAGGACGGGGGGGCGACCAAGGCTGCCCAGCAGTGCCGAGAACGGCGCCGCGGGAGGCGAACTGCCTGCGCACGGCGCCCCACTGGGCAGCTTGAGCTATAGTTCCCCAGTGAGGCAGCCTCCAGTCCACCCAGCCCCTGGCCCGTGAAGGTGGATCCTCCTACCGAAGCGCTGGCCCTGATTTCCACGGCATCCCTTCTGCCTGAACCTCTCGAATTACTGACTCCTCGTGTTCCTCTGCCCCTGGTCCCGTTTCTCTGCGTCCCTGACCTATGGCCCTTCGTTTCACGGGAAAAGAAATCCCGTGCGTCCCCATGCCCGCAACGGTGTGGGGGGTGCCTCCAGCCGCTGGGGCGGGGCACTGCACCCAATGGGCGCCGAGTTCCCGTCCGCACCTCTTCTGCGGGACTCTCGCGGCAGCCAGGGGGGGCCCGCCGACCCCTCGAACGGGCTCGAGGCGCCCGAGAAGCCCGCGCGATGCGCCAAAGACTCGCCCTCTGAGCTTCGCCGTGTCGCAGCCGCTGCTCCCTCGCGCGCGCGCGCGCCATCTGTCTTCGTTTCGATCGGGCGGCGGGCGCCTGAACGCAGGCGCTGTAGGTGCCGACGGCCGAACAGACCGAGGAACGGGGTGGGGGAGCGGTTGTGCGGAAAGCTCAGGGCGAGACGGACGAGCACGACGACGACGACGACGACAACGAAGGCGGCGGTGGCAGCAAGACGGCGACGGGTAGCAAGCGGAGCCGGACAAGTCGTTCACAAAAAGCAATGGGATGATTAAACCCAGGAGGCGTAGGCCGAAAACATCACATTCCTCTCCTCCCCCTCCTCTTCCTGCTCCTCCTCCTCCTGCTCATCAGATTCCTCCTCCTCCGCCTCCTCCTCCTCCTCCTCGTGCCTCCTCCTCCTTCTCCTCCTCCTCCGTTTCCTCATTCGCCTCGGCTTTTCCCTCGCGCTCCTCCTCCTCCCCTCCTCCTCCTCCTCCTCCTCCTCCTCCTCCTCCTCCTCCTCCTCCTCCTCCTCCTCCTCCTCCTCCCCCTCCTCCTCCTCCTCCTCCTCCTCCTCCTCCTCCTCCCCCTGCATATCCTCCTCTTGCTCCTCCTCCTCCTGTGCCTTGTTCCGTGGCTCTCTCTTGGCTCCCACCAATCCATGATCGAAGGGGCTGCACCGAGGGGCCCCCAAACACCATCGCCCACCTCCCCCGACACCAGTAGAACGGAACCCGAAGGCCAGGACCGCCTCACTGATGCAAGGGGGACACCCAATTGCCTGGCTGCCCCTAAGCCACCGCCCGCAGGCTGGTGGAACGAGCCTCCGCCCGACCTCGGACCGGGGGGGGAAGCAAAACCAACAACGAACCTATTCATACGAACCTGGTCCACCATTCCGCCTCCTCCTGAAGCGCGAGTCTCAGTGGCCAAGGTGCCGAGACGTTGTGCCCCCGCGGCCACGGAAAGTCCCCCTTAGCAATTGTCGCCTCTGGTGGGGGACAACCTTGTTGCAGCCCTTGAAGACTTGCTTGGGGGGCCCGCGACATGCGCTCCACATTCGATGCACAAGACAACAGGCAAATCGGAGGACAAGACTTTACACGCGTGCAATTTGCGGGCCGGGGAAGCTTCGGCGCTAATCAATTGACGCATTCCAGGGGTCAGAGCGGCACAGGAGCCCTTGGGAGACTTAACATCGAAACGGCAAGCACACGCTAGACACCGCCACCGGCGGCCATTCCAACGCACACGACGGGGCTTCGGGCTACCAGGAAGGGCCAGGGGGCGAGGAACCTGAATCTGACGCTCCAACTTCCCGAAGAGTTCTTTGGCCTTCGGGAGTCTTAATAACTCAGCCATACCTAATGCTAACACATTCCACCTATCTAACGCAAGCGTACTTCACAATGTTTTGGGCCATTTGGGGGTGAAGTTTAGCTCCATTCTTGGCGCGTTCATCTGCACAACCATTACCTCGCTTATGCCGTTGCTGCAGGTCCACCACTGCATCATACACATGTGATTTGACCTTATTTAGCTACAACGGCGGGTAGGTGCGAGAGTAGATCGCTTTCCAAACCTCGGCGAGCGGTGAACGTCCACTCGCAGCAGACCTTGGGCCTGTTGGTCCTGCAGAAGGGCGGCGCAGTCCACGCGCAATCTGGATGCGACTTCGGGCTGATCCTCTGGATCGAAGCGGCCCAGGGCCTGGAGTGAACAATAGTGCCCAGGGGGGAAAAAAAAACACCCTGAGGCAGAAATCCCGGAATGTGTCCGAAAACACTGCGGACAAAATCTCCGTCCTCGTCAATCTGGACAACGGCCCACCCCGACCTGGCCACCAAAACGTGAATGGGGCTATAACAACTCCCGCCCGAATAGATCACATCCTGTCTTTTGAAAAAGACTATCGGCGCAACCCCCGACCTGTCCACATGCCGAACTTCTCCACCCCAAGCAGCAGGGGCTAAATTCTCAGAAACTGGATGCCACATGTTAGAAAACATACATCGTTCTCGCCTGCGTCCGCGGCCTGCTGCATCGGCTCGGCACTCAGGTGCTCCGAGCGCTGCGCTTCCAAGGCGGGGCAGAGGAAACGCCGGCGCCAAATGGAATCTAACGACCCTCCCTCTGGCGAACGGCAAAGCGAGCACATCGGCCAGACCTCCTGCTCCCATTTGCGAAGCTTGCGCGCAGTCACGTGCGAGCGGCAAAAAGTACCCCTGACAGTTTGCCTGAGATGGCGAGGCTTTCCCCCCGAACAAGAAGCTGCGACAGGCTCGGTCCAGGGCCCCCGCCCCAGGATATCCAGGCCCCTCTGGTGTTCGGAGTCATTCAGGCACTTAATCGTACTCTGGGGTGTATATATATATATATATCCAAGTGAGAGGTCTCTGATCAGATGCTTCTTGACCCGTGTGAACAGCGCGTCTGTCTGCAAATGCGGGCCCTCGTTGCGCATTTGGAAATCACGTGGCCCCCTGATCTCCCACTTGGCCCTCTCCATCCAACATGGCATGTCCCCGATCGGGCCCCGCGACCGCGCGCCCTAGGATGACTTCGCGCGCGCGCCTCAAGGTGCTCGCGGACAACGGAGACCAATTTAGAGAGATCTCTCACAGAAAGCCCATCACCCTGGCGAAGTCCTGGGGCGCGCGCCTGCCAAACCTCCTCGGCGAACCTACGCGCAGTGGCCGCCGCGTGCTTGGTCGGGCCCCCGGGGGGCTCCAAGGCCAAGGCCAAATTCAAATCTGCTCCACAGCTCGTCAAACCCAGCAAACCTGCTGCCTGTCCCCGAAGTTTCCGCATCTCCTTCGGCGTCCATCCCACCGCCTCCCCCCCATAGGTAGTAGCAGGCTTGACACCTCAAACAACATTTTAGCCCGAACCCGCCTTGGGTTTCTCAGCGATCTCATCTTCCTCAGCCCCCCCCCCTTCCCCTCGCCCATCTCTCGTTTCTTGACGCTTGGTTTTTCGAATTTTGAACTCCTGACCTGGAGCGAAGTCGCAGCCTAGGTTCACAATCGACTCGTCACACGTACCTGTATACCGCTCCAACTCAAGCTCGGCCTTCCTGACCAGCTCGGGGCAAGTTGCCGCGATGCTAAAATTCTTCAAAGCGAAATTCAAATCGAACAGCTTCGACAGGTAATCCACTAAGAAGGCCAAGACAACGCACATGTAACAGACAACAGCATCTATGTCTTCGCTCCGTTCAGCTAGACTGAATTCATCTACATGTACCGCTAGAGCTGGAGTGCAGTTCTTCCCACAATACTCTGCAACCGTAGGTAAAGTCTAGCACTTAATCTCGTGCGTCGCCGCGCTGCTGCCTGCTACGGTTTATCGCCCAATCAAGGCTGAGAAGCCCGCCCCGGGAGTAGGTGTGGAGGGGGAAGCGCAGCGCGTAACGAGGGAAGCCCCACTCAATGGCGGACTCCAGCAGCTCGGCATGCACCACGCGCTCGTAGCACTGCTTAAGGTCCGCCAGGAAAGTGAGCACATGCTCTCGGCGCCCTACTGCCAAGTCGCCTCGAACAGTCGGGCGCCAGACCGTATCCGTGGGGCCCGTCCCTGGCGACATCGACAAAAACTACCGCGGTCTATGATTATGCTCTACCAAACCTTACATGCAGTCGTGCTCCATCTAGACAACGCCCGAACCAGTGTCTGGAATAAACCAATCGGACGCCGACCCTGAAATGGTTTCTTCAATAGCGCAACCACCAGAACCTGCATCCAGGAAGGAGTAGATCCCAAGACCATCATAATCCAAATAATCAAGTTCAGGCAGGAGGGAGCAGGACCACAGAGGAACTGGTAGTGCCTGGGGTGGTAGCCGTCGGCGGCAATGGTGGCCCTCTTGAAGCTCCCGGAGATCTTAACGATATCCCCGGCAGTCGGGGGAGACGGGATGACCATGTTCTTGGGGCAGTTGAGGCCCGCACTTCCAGAACAGCTCGGGCCCGAGACTCTCCAAGCTTCAGACAAATTGAGGCCCTCCTGAGACAGCTGGGTCTTCAAACGTGATGCGGCCTCGCCGTCGTCCGTCGGCAAAAGGTCCTCCTTCCTATCCTCCGCGGCCTTCGTGTAGGCGCGAGCCCACTTGGCCCTCCCTGCTAAGGCCTCTGCGCACCAGTCTTTCCACTTGGCCGAACGTTCGGCCCCCTCTCGCGGCAGCTGGAGGGTGGCACTGCGAGCTGCAAGAGTCTTCAGATCCTCCAGTGCCCTGACAGACCCCCGCCCCAGGTAAAACAGGAAAACTCCAAAGCGGTACCAGAGCGGCCTCCAGGCATCCACACCAGAACTCCTGGCCCCCAGGGCAGTTATATTTGAACAGTGCCTCCTTCCTTTGCCACCTTTTGGGTAGACTGGAGTAACTTACCAACGTGCTGGCCATGGGAGACCAGCTTATCATGAGAAATGAGACTGGTCAACTCTCCGAGCCGCTGCGCCAGCCAATTCAGCGCCTTGAAAGGGCTCCGAGTCGGCGAGCGCTTGGTGACCAACAATTCTGCCAGGGGGACCGCAACCGTCAGGTACGGTACCACCCGCGCGGCCTTCAAGACAACTCGAACCAATATTCATAAAAAACCTGTCAAGACCATGTTGAAGCCCCGACACCTCAGAATCTCCAGGCTGATGATATCCTCCAGGGACCTCGAAAGGAATGAGGAGCTCCTCAAGACGCTGCCGAACCTGCTCATAGACTGGGCACTCGGGGGCAAGTCCAATAGGGAGGTCCACAGGGAGTTTCTGATACTTCACGAGCCTCTGAACTGTCAGCTTATCCAGGCCTCCACGGAACTTGAAGCCTACAGGGCGATGAAGAAAGAACTCTTGATTCAAATCTGCCTTGACCGACTCTATGCACGGAACCAGCTGCTTGGAGACCATGAACTAGTCGTAGCAGCGGCCTGGCGTACTGGACAGGCAGGTCTGGAAAGGGGTGGGGATGCGCAGCTGACCATTGAATTTGTGATGGCAGAGCCCAGATCTAAACACATGTGGCCCGATGTTGTGGTCGCCACCCGAAATATATGGTATGTTCCGTCGCAAAGTGTCATCCCCTAGGAGGCGAGCCAACCTCAGATTGGCCGTCCCGAGGCCTTCCCCGTCTTTCCAATAGTTACAATAGATGGATAACATCCCCATGACTTTGCTTCTGAAGAGGCAATGGCCGATCCGAAAATCTGCAATTGGCGATGAGGTCTCTGAGAGAGGCTGCCAGACATCCAACTGCATACGTGCGCAAATACACACCCCAGCGCTCTTGCCACCTCGTTGGGTGACCTGGCAAGGGGCCCAAAAACTTGTCCATCCCAACTTCCTTCTTCTCCTCCTCCTCCTCCTCCTCCTCCTCCTCGTCCTCGTCCTCCTCCTCCTCCTCCTCCTCCACCCCCCGCTATTTCTCCTCCTCTTCTTGCTCCTCCTCCGACGGGCAGGCGTCAACGGTCGGGGCTGGCCTGGCTCGCTGGCCCTGCGGCCGCCAGCTCCGCCAGCACCACGAGTCCCGCGGCCCGCAACTCGAGCTCTGCCTCCTTGCCCCGCAGCGCCCGCACGACCTGCCGCGCGCAAAGGACGCGCTCCGGGACGGAAGCCCACTCCAGGGCCCCATCAAGCGGCAAATGGAGCGGGACGGGGACATGTGGGAGGGGGAGGGAGGGGGACGGTGAAGCGGGAAAAGGGGAGGAGGAGGAGGAGGAGGAGGAGGAGGAGGAGGAGGAGGAGGAGGAGGAGGATGAGGAGGAGGAGGAGGAGGAGAAGGAGGAGGAGGAGGAGGAGGGTGTGTGGGGGGGGGTGGAAGGCGGAGGAGGGGGGAAGGGGCGAGGGGGAAATGGGGGTGGGGGGCACAGCCCAGTCATTGCACGCACTGCCCCACGTCATCTCCAAAGGGGGACAGAGCGGACAGAGGCTCAGAGACTGAGAGGAAAGCGCGCGTTCCGAACGGCGCCAAATCATGGTTCGGGACGTGCCGACCAGAATGAGCGAGATCTCCTTCCTACGCTCGAGGCCGTGCCTCCTGTCCCTATCCACTCTCCTGCGGGTCGCTACTCCCCCGAAAGCATTCCCGGTGTGTTATATTGTTATTTTCCTCCCCCACAACGCACTAGCACTTCATCTCTACATCCCGACTGCCAATCGCACGCAGCGCCACACAGCCTGCCAGGCGCGAGGCAAAAACCCTGGACTCGCACAGCGAGGCAAAATCATGTCACGGAGCCAGCGCAAGAACAGTATCATAAGGAAGAAAATTCAAACGTCTTGCTCTCACAAGACTGACTACATAAGCCGGCCGTATCCGTGGATGGTGGCCAAGCTAGGGTACACCTACACGCCCCCGAATTCCAGCACACAGTAAGGAATGCAAACTAAGACCCAGTAAAAGCGAGGCGCCGAATCCAGGCGTGAGGGAACTAGGCGAGAATCGCACACCAGAAACTCGGAAACGACATAACTAAGTTGAGTGGTTGCGGCCTGGCCGCCAGGAGATACGCAGGCGACGGCGACGGCACGGGCCAGGAGTGGCCCCCCACGGAAGCGGCTCACAGGACCGCGCGACCAACGGCCCACCCGCAACCCCTGAATGTATCGGGCGCCCCATGCGCCAATTGAGGAGGCGGCGGAGGGCAAGGAAAGGAAGCGGAGGAGAAGTAAAACGCAGAAAAACAAAGGAACACGAAGCAGCAGTGCGCCCAGCTCACCGTCAAGACACCACCAAATAGAGGAAGAGGCCTCGTTTGGAAAGAATACCCACGTAGACTGCACAAGGCAAGAGATACACTGAACCGCGGGGTCGACCACGTGCATGAGTTCGAACTGCACGGCAGCGCCGGCTTCACGATAGATCCCTCCATGGTCGAGCCCAGCGCCGTCAGTGGCCTGGAGGCCGTCGCGCGCGGATAGGTCAGCACAGGCCAAGATGACCATCGTCTGCGAATGCGGCGGCACTGAAATGTCACGGAAATGTCACGGAGACGGTGCGCCGCCCACTCCTGCGATGCCCCATCGGATGCTCTTTCGCTGGTGCGGATTGCCCCGCCTCGCCGCCGACGAAAAAAGTGGTTTGAAAAAAATAGTGTACGCCTCGCGTGGGCTGCACGATAGGTCCCTCTATGGTCGAGCCTGGCGCCCCCTCTGGCGTGACGATGGGCCAAGCTGGTGGACTCGATCCTGCGAAGAGACCCCTTGTCACCCAGTGCCTATGACCACTAGGTCCCGCGCCCTTGTATTGATCGATGTCTTCCTGGTGTCGCTGCCCAAGGCCCCCAGCCGCTCCCCATGAAAAAGTTTTAAACTCCAGATGTTGTGCAAGATGCCGTTCCAGCTGTGCTTCAAGACCCCACCAAATCGAGGAAGAGGTGCGCGTTTGGAGAGAGTAACGACCTTCTTGCTAATGCTCCGTGATCTACGAAGCCAACAAGTATACACAGACACCTTTTGCCAAAAAACCGTCGGACCAAGATCCTGTGGGCGCCCTCCGCACGCGTCACCAGATAAGCTCTGTTTCCTCGTTTGCTAGACGCGCGACATCGGCGCATGCGCGCGGCCATCCTCGCGCCCCCTATAGAGCCTACCCCACCGAGAAAACGGCCGCGAAAGCGTTCGACGCGATAACTTCCACTGCCTTTTGGGGGGCTTCTTGGGGGCCCCAAGAAAGCCCCAGCGGCCCCCAGGAGGGCCCCAAGAGGGCCACAAGATGGTTCCAAAAGGGGTCCCAATTAGCCCCTGGTCCAGCTCCACAGCGTGGAGTTCGAAACGATAACTTCAAGTGCCCCTTTGGGGGCCGCTCGGAGCTTCCAAGACGGCTCCGGAGAGCCCCAGGAGGGCCCCAAGAGAGCCACAAGAGGGTTTCAAGAAGGGGTCTGGGTGAGCCTCTGGTCCAACTCCACGGCTTGGAGTTCGAAGCGATCACTTTCAGTGGCTTTGGGGGAGCCTCTTGGGACCCCTAAGACGGCCCCAGAGGGCCAAATGAAAGCCCTCCAGGACGCGAGAGGGCTCCGAGAGGGTTCCGATGATCACTCCCCAGATTATTATCCCATACAGGGGACCCTGCTTCGCTCATGCACGACGGGCCGTTTTTGCTACAATCCCCCCTCATGCACGAGGGGACCGCTGTTGCTACACGTCCGCCTGATGAGCGTTTTTGCTACAATCCCCCGTCATGCACGAGGGCAGTGCGTTCGCTTCAGCGCCCTGTCACGCACGAGGGAACGTCATTGCGATACTCCCCCTCATGTATACAAGACATTGTTGCTAAAACTCCCATTCATGCACGAAGGAAGCGCTTTTGCTGTAATCCCACCAAACGTGCGAATAGCTGCTGTTGCTATCCTCCCCATGAGCCAGGGACGGTGCTTGCTTCAATCCACAAACCCGTGCACGAGGAGACGTCTTTCCTACAATCCCACTCATGTACAAAGAGCAGGTTTGCTACAATCCCCCACGTGACAGAGAGGACGAACTCACCACACACACACACCCTCATGTACGAACGAAGGTCTACTTGTCCTATAACCCCCCCCCACCGCGAACGAGAAGCAATTCTTGCTGCAGGCCCCTCACGACCATGAGACAATTTTTGCCACAATCTTCCCTCATGCGCGGCGGACAACTTTTGATACAACCTCCCCCCATCATGCACGAGCGACCGCGTTTCGCTCGAGTCCTCCCTCGTGTGCGAGGAACCAGTCAGATGAAAATCCCCCCTCGTGCACGAAGGACGGTTTTTGTTACACCCCCCTGGTGCACTGGGGACCGTTTTTGCTACAATTCCAGCTCACGCACGAGGGGCAGTTTTTGCTACCATCCCTTCTCTGCACGCGCGAGGGACAACGATTTCTACAGTGACACCCACGCACGAGGGACAACCTTTTCCACCCCCATCCTCTATTCCAAACTACACCAGAGAATACCCCAATCAGTGTTCGAGCGAAGCGTGTAAAGACATCGCGATGCCCCCCTTTGAGGCCTTCCCGATCCCCCCGAGAAGCCTCCAGAAAGACCCCAAGAGGGCCTCAAGAGAGCCCCGGGAGTTGTCACTTTCACGGGCGCCGGAGGTGACAACTCGACGGTGCCTCCTGGGGCCCTCTCAAGCCTTCTCGGGGCCCTCCGGAAGCTCTCCCGAGGTCCCGAGGAGGCCCTGGAAGGCCCCGAGAATCACCCAAAGGCTTCCAGAGGGCCCAGTGCCAGGGGAGGCGTTCCTGCCCAAAAGGTCCTGCAAGCCTGCCAGGGGGCGGGGGCTGGGCGAGGTCCATTCCTGGCGTTGACGACGGCCGTTTCCACGTGGGTCGCCTTTGAAAATAATTGAATGCGCGCCCCAACCGAAACATTGGTGTATACAAATCAACATAAACCTAAAGGAAAATCAAGCATACACCGATTTTGGTATGCACCGATGACATATATCCGGTCTGGAAAAAGTTGTCTCGCATGGGTTCGCTCGCGCGAAGGTTTGCAACTCCATGTCGCGCCCCCCCTCCCCAATCCTCGCCCCCGCGGCCGAAATCTGGGATTCCGCTCCCAAGGGGCGCGCCTGCGGAAGCCAGTGCACGATCTCGCTCCTGGGAGCAACATGACCTCCGAAAGGCCCCCAGGAGAGCCTCAAGTGTGCCCTGGGAATTGTCATTTTCACGGGCTCTGGAAGTGACAACTCGACGGTGCCTCCCGGGGGCCCCTCCCGAGGCTCTCGCGAGGTCCCGAGGAGGCCCTGGGACGGCCCCGAAAAGCGCCCAGAGGGCTTCAAGAGGGCTCCAAGAAGGCCTCAAGAGGGCCTCGAAAAGGCCCCTCTAGATGCTCTTGGCACTGCGTTTCGGAAGGCTTCCTGGAAATCTAGGAGGGGCTCTCTTGGGCTTCTCTCGGGCCTTCTTGGAGCTCTCCCGAGGCCCTCCGAAAGGTCCCGAGGAAGCACCGGGAGGCAATAAGCCCCAAGAAGGCCCCTCCTAGAAGCTCCCGGCATTACGTTTCGGAGAACTCTCTGGGAGCATCTGGGAGGGGGCCTCTTGGGGTTTTATCGAGCCTCTTTGGAACTCTCCCGAAGCTTTACGAGGGGCCCGAAGAAGCCCTGGGAGGCCCCCAAATAAGCCCGGGAGGGCTTCAAGGAAGGGCTGGTGGTCGAGGAAAGAAGTAGGCTCAGTTCACCAGTGGGTCTCCCGCGCTGGCGCGAGCCACTCGTTCACTCGAGCGCCCAGGCAATCCTTTGGCAACGATGACTTGGAGACGGGGGATGAGGAAATAAATCTTCCTGGGGCGCGAAGCCCTTCTCCGAGTGGGGGGATGCATGCCCCCCTTGGGGGGGGGTCGCGCGCTGTCGGGAGGGGGCGGGGGGTAGGTCGCACGGTTTTGAAGGTCAAGTTTCTGGGCCAAGAGGACTGGCCGAGTAGGTAGCGTCGGCAGTCCCCGAGGTGAGCTCGTGAATTACGGGGCAGTCGTGGGCGGGAGAAGATGAGACATCGATTCCCAAACCAGTGCTTGCACTGAAGGGGCCCCCGCGGAGATTGAAAGAGCATACGAAAATGTCATGCCAAGTTCGGTACGCGGCCAGGTTCCTGGGTTTCGAGTTACGGACCCTCCAAGATGACTGTTGAAGGCCCCAAGAGGAGCCCAAGGAGAACCATAATTAAGTCACGCAGTTGCCCGTTGCCCTCTCGCGTGAGATTGTTCTAACTCCGCTGACCCCCTCTTGGAACCCACTCGGGGCCCTCTGAGACGGCGCGGGGGGGGGATCGGAAGGCCCCAGAAGGGTCCCAAGAGGGGCCCAAGAGGAGTCCACATGAAGTCAAGGGAGGGCCCTCTGGCATGACTTCATATTGTCTCCTTTTGAGCCGACCTTGGGGTCCTCCCAGGTTTCCTCTCGAGACCTTCGGAGGGCTTAGATGTAGCTCCAAGAAGGCTCGAGAAAACCCCAAGAGGGCCCCTCCCAGGTGCTCCCAGGAGGCCTTCCGAAGCGCAGCGCCAAGAACATCCAGAAACGGGACTTCTCGAGGCCCTCTTGGAGCCTCCTTGGGGCCCCCTTTCCAAGTCCGCCTTCCCTCCTTTTCCCCCTTTGGCTCCTCTTGCTGCACGTATTTCCCCCGTCCTCTACATCGTCCCTTCCTCCTCCATTCCCTCGCCCCACTTATGTTTCTTTGTTATTTTCGTTGGCTGGGCGTCAATCACCCATGGATCGCTATGTGTAAAGCATGTTGCTAGCCCCACGAGTTCGGTGTCGGTGTATGCTTGCTGGCCCCCGATGGTCCACGCAAACTCAAGAATAGTTCCACTCAAGCATCTCAAGCAGGTTGCTATCGCCGTCCATGTCCAATTACATTAATGAATCATGTATCAATGTCCTCGGCTAGTCGGACTCACCAGCCAACTTCAAAAGATCGGCAAGCGCTCCCATAGGGTGGAAGGCAGCCCCCAACCCAAGCAACATGAACATACAACGATTGACGGTCGAATCAGACGTAATGCTTGTGAGACGCAAAGCTTGTGAAACTCGACCTAGGACGTGAATCCGTCCCCAGCCAAGGCTATGACATCGAACTGAAGATCCACGGGAATCGGCTCCACATAGGGAGCCAGCCCAAGCATCACGAAGTGGAGCCTCAGAGGCTCGCGCCTGTCAGAAGCGCCACCACCGTCCCTGTCCACTTTCATGAATGCATCGTGGCTCAGGAGTCGGAAGTGGTGTCAGTGCTGACGTCGGTACTGGTGTAGGCGCTGGCGTTGGTGTCGGCGCAGGCGCCAGCATTTATGCTGTCTTCATTGGTGGCGTCGGCGTTGATGTCGGTGCTGGTGTCGGCGCTGGCGTATGCGCCGACGTTTGTGCTGGCGTCGGTGCTGGCGTCAGTGCTGGTGTAGGTGCAGGCGTTCGTGCTGGCGTAGGCGAAAGCGGTGGCGCTGGCGCAGGGGCTGACTTCAGTGCCGGCGCAGGCGCTTGCAAGTGTTGATACTGGCGTGTGCTGCATCAGCGCTAGCGCAGGCGCCGGAGTTGGTGCTGGCGTCGGTTCGCACCAGAGCACTGCCAGCTGGGAAGTCGGAGGTGTTGGAACTGGCTCTGGGGTCGGGGCTGGCGTAGGTGCTGACATCGGTGCTGGTGTAGGCGCTGGAGTTGGTGCCAGCGCAGGCACCGGCGTTCGTGCTGGCGTAATTGCTGGCGTTGGCGCTGGTGTCGGCGCTGACGTTAAAGCTAGCGCATTCGAAGGCGTTCATGCTGGCGTAGGTGCCGGCGTCAGCGCTGGCGAAGGCACCGGCGTTTGTGCTGGCAACAGCGCTGGCATCGGTACTACAGTAGGCGCTGGCGCTGGTGCCAGCGTAGGCGCAGACGCTGTTGCTGGCGTCGATGCTGGGCGTCGCCACTGGCGTAGGCACCAGCGTTGGTGCTGGCATTGGTGATGACATCGGTGCTGGTCTAGGCGGTGACATTGGTACTGGCACATGCGCAGGCGTGTGCGCTGGCGTCGGTGCTGGCGTCGTCGCTGTCGTCTGCGCTGGCTTTGGTGTTAGCGCATTCGCAGGTTTCCATGCTGGCGTCGGTGCTGGCGACAGGGCTGGCATAGGTGCCGGCGATTGTGCTGGCGTCAATGCTGGGATTGATGCTGGTGTCGGCGATGGCATTGGAGCTGGCGTAGGCGCTGGCGTTGGCATTGGGGCTGACGTTTGTGTAGGCGCTGGCATTGGTGCCAGCGCAGGCGCAAGCGTTGATGCTGGCGTCGGCGCTGGCGTAGGCGCCGGAATCGTTGCTGGCGTCTTCGGTGCGCACAGGTTAGCTGGGCGGCTCACCAGTGCATACCAGTGAGCTGCTGCTCTCTGGGGCTGGGGAGGTCGTTGGTGCTGGCACTGGCTCTGGAGACGGGGCTGACGTAGGTGCTGACATCGGTGCTGGTGCAGGCGCTGACGTTGGTGCCGACGCAGGCGCCTGCGTTCGTGCTGGCGCTGGATTAGGCCCGAGAAACATCTTCCCCTGCAAACCGAAGGCGCCAGCGAGTACGGCGGAAGGACTAGCATTGGAAGCGCACACCCTCGGCCGAGGCGATGTATTCGAGGATGAAGAAGGGGTCGCACACACATACACGAGTGCTCGAACATGTTGTCCTGGACTGGCTTCACAAAAGCCCTTCGGGCCTGAGGCAGCAGGTTTCTCAACACACAGCGGGCGAGTGCAGCTTGCCCTGCGGGTTAGCGATGGAAGCAACCAGGCGGGCCCAGACGCGGGGGGGAAGATTCAGGGAGGAGAGGGTGATGGGAAAGGGGGGAGAGGAGGGGTAGGGGACAGGGGGAGAGGCGGCCTCCTGGATGCCACCGAGCTCCTCGATCTCGGCGCAGAGCTCAGCGCCTCGCGCAACGGGAGGGCAGAACGCTCCAAGGCCAACGTGTTTCCGTTATCCTCCTTCCTCTTTCTCTGCTCCTCCTCGGCGCCCCATCCCCCTGCCATTCCTCCTACTCCTCCTCCTCCTCCTCCTCCTCCTCCTCCTCTTCCTCTTCCTCTCCTTCTACTTCTCCTGCTCCTTCTCGTCCTCCTCCTCCTGTTCCTGTTTCTCCTCCTCCTACTTCTGTTCCTGTTCCCTGTTCCTCCGCCTCCACCACCCCCCATCCAGGCCGCAACAAACGAGACCCCCTTTTGGCACAGGGGCCCCACGACGAAAGACCACCCAGCTTCAACGTGAGATCTCCCGGCCTCGTCGAGCACCAGCGCGGGTTACCCCCCCCCCACTCCTCTTTTCCATGGCACCGTCTACCCCTGCACCTACTCCCAGCCCTGCCAGCAACGCTCAACACCCAGAAGATGATGAAGACGTCCTATATCATCCCAAAACTTTTCGCCACAGCGAAAAGTCGTGCACACATCCATCGTTTCGTGGTTGTCGATGAGGACGCCGTCCGATGTAATCATCGTAGACTTTCTCGCTGGAGATATCGACGTCAATATTATCCAATCCAATATTCTTCTTCGCCCTCATCCTAATTCCCGAGACGCCCCCCTTTCCGTGGCGAATTTGTACATGCATGCATATGTTTTACGTGGTTGTCGATGATGAAGCCGCCCTGTAATCATCGTAGACTTTCTCGCTGGAGATATCGACGTTGATATTATCCAGCACAGTCGTCTTCTTCGCCCTAATCCTAATTCCCGAGACGCCCCCCCCTGTCCGTAGCGAATTCGTGCATGCATGCATATGTTTTACGTGGTTCTCGATGATGAAGCCACCGTATCGGATTATCCTAAGCCCTCTCGGCAGAAATCTCACCATCGAGTTTCTGCACGACACTATTATACTACATGTTTCTTGTTCGCCCTGATTAAATCCCGAAGCGTCCCCGTGTCCGCAGCGAACTCGCGCATGCATGCATATGTTCTTCGTCGTTGTCGACGGTGGACCAGCGACCCGATGTCAGCTCCCCCCCGTCACCCCTACACCTACATACCCCTTATCCCTGCCGCCAACCTCTAACCACACGGCGATGATGAAGTTGTCCTTATTCGGAACAATGTTCCCAAAAGTAATTGTGAAGGTTCGGCCGCAAAGCGGTTCTTGAGCAGTCGCGGGGTTCGCAACAGACTGCCAACGGGGGCTAACGCGCACTTGAAAATTACAGTTCTGAAGGCTGTGCTCGATACTGGTGGAACGGGACGTCGTCGAACTACCGGCCTCCCCCCCTTCGACCCCCCCCCGCGACCTTGCGAAATTAACTGACGGAAAAAACCTTTGGCGCTTCGGTAACGTGGGACCCCATACTGCGGCGTCCTGGCGTCCTAGGGGGGGGGGGGGGGGGGGGGCGGGGGCGGGGGATGACGTAACGCCCCCCCCCCCGCCCGCCGTGTGGCTCCGGCACCACAGCCGCGCACGACTGGGGAGGTGCAAATGCATGCCCTCAAGTGGTCACGTTGGTCTTTCCCGAGAATTATTTCACGGGGCCCTCTTTGCCATCCACATGAGCGTCTTCTTACAATTATGTATAATGGATCACCAATAAAATACGGATTCATGTAGCACTGATGCGACCGAAACGTGTGATTTGCACATACGCAGGTCAGCCCAAATTGTGATATTGACATGTACCTCTCGCCCAAAACGCCGTTCAAACGATCATGGCAACGCGTATTCGACGTCTCTGCGCGTTGGGTGGCAACGCACACCCACGTGAAAACACATCGACGCTCATAACACATTGCGCACGACAGTGGAAACGCCCTGACTTGCCACTTGTCGAGAACCCCGTTTGTCGCCACGCATTTGGCGAGGCGGGCTCGACGCTCGAGAAAGCAACGCGGCGACTCGGAGGAGAAGTAGGACAGAGAAGTAGGAGGAAGGGGGGAAAGGGGAGAGAGCGGAAGAGGAGGAGGAGGGGGAAGAAGCGGAGCGGGGAGAGGGCGGGGGGGGGAGAAGCGAGGAGGGCGAGGAGGAGGGGGAGGTTACAACGATGGCTGTGACAATGCTTGGGTCGATCTGCGCTGCTATCGATCGCTGTGCCACGGCAGCGCGTCTGCCTCCGTACTTCTACCTAGCTACTTCGGGCGATGCTGCATACGAGGCGGCAAGAGCGCGCTGAGCCCACATGCGCTCGCGAGGACTGGTGCACCAGTCAGCCGCCTGATTCCTACATCGATTTTCACATGCACAAATACTTGGGGCAGGCCTTTACGCTGCCCGTGGATTTAGCGCGGCCCTTGGCCTTTCCCTGCGGGATGGCCACGGGCTTCGCCTCCTCCTCGGCTGCGCTGGCCGCGGCTGCGGCGGAGGCGGCGCGCTTCTCAGCCTCGCGCGCATCATAGAGTGCCTTCGGCTCTCTCTGAACAGGCTTACTGACGGAGTACTCCTCCGGCGTTTTCGGTTTGACAAGCATCGCGCCCATGAGCCCGAGAGCATCAGGGTGGGGCGTCAGGTAGAACACCCAGGCCTTCAGCTTGATCTCCTTCAGGCCCTTGCGGCCCGCGCCCTCGAGCGGGATCGTCAGGTGGAAGCAGTCCCGCCGCATGTCCAGGGTAGCCCACTCGCCATCTGCGCGCGCGTCGGCCCCCGCCCCCACTGGCGCCGCCGCTACCTTCTTGCCACCCTGCTTCTTCATGTCGGGAACTGCCCATGCAGGGGTCATGAACGGGTTGAAAAGGGGGCTGGTAGTTCTTGCCACCCATGCGCACCTTGAGCCCGCCGATCTCGGTCAAGATAAAGGCGTTCTCGCTCGGCGTAAGCACGACGCCCCCCGGGTAGTTGAAGCGAGTGCTCTGCGAGGGCGACCCCGCATAAATGGCACCATCTTTCTCGCATACGTGCGCCCACCCAGAAACAGCGCACATGCCTCCGCCAGGAGAGGACCTCTGCAGGACGCCGACGGCAAGCTGGGACATTATGACCTTGAGCATGGTGGGGGAAAGCGTGCATCCAACAAGTGGCTGAGACAAGAAATCTCCGATGTAGCGCTGCTGCGTGTCCAGGGGCGCTTTCGCGGCTTCCTGGCCCTCGGCCTTCACGGGCACGAGCTGCGCCTGCCCCCCCATTGCTGATGGTCTTCCCCGTCTGGGTCGCTGGCTCGCCCGCTGCATCTGCCGTCGCCTCCCGCGGGGGCCCGGGGGCTTCAGGGCTCGGGCTGTCGCCGTCTACACTCGCCCCGCCTGCCGATGACGCCACGGCAGCCGAGCAGGCAGCATCATCCTCTCCGCACACGCTGAGCCAGAAGGTCACCCACCCGGACTTCTTCGCGACGGTGGTCGCGTCGGCGACCTGGGGCAGTTTCGCGTCGGCGTCGGAAGCCGACGCAAGTAGCTTCTCGACGCGGGCCGTCGTGCTGCCTGGAAGGGATCCACCGCGCGCCTCCTGGACAGCGAGCGCGACCATCCTGGGGCGCATGGCGAGGAAGCGGCAGGCACCGTCGCCGACGAAGGTCTCGTCGATCACGCCCCTCATGTCACCGTCGGCGGGGGGCGCGCCCTGGGCTGCCCCGAATCTTTGCATTCGGCTAGGGTTCTAGAAACATCCTGGAGGAAGCCCACAGGACCCCCAGAGTGAAGATGGTTCCCCCTCCCCCCCTCCCTCGCTCCCTCCCTCCTCGTCCGCCCGTGCCCGCAGTGCCCCCTCCCCCCGCCTCGCCCTCGCCCTCCTGTCGCCATCCTTCGACGCAGACGTGGGAGGGGGAGGGCGCGAGGTGCCCTGGCAGTAGATCAGCTGGACGCTCAGCTTGGCCATGCGCAACCAGTCGGCCTCGATGATCTTCGCCGCGTGCCCCCAGATGCGCTCGAGCGTGCCCTCGAGCGTCGGGCCGTCGAAGCCTCTGCTGCCACGCGTAACTTGCGCAACCATCTCCTTAACCACGGGCGCAGATTTCCAGCCGCACTCCGCGTCAAGCCCGCAGCCGTTCGTAAAAGCTTGGAGGCGCAGCATTATCGTGGCGTCCGCGAAAAGCAGCTTGAACCTCCGAGCGCGGCGAACGAGGGCTGGTTGATCTCCTTCCACAGATTGCTGCCCATGTTTCCTCTCTGGCGAGTCCATCTGGATATCGGGCTCAGCGTCAACTTGGGGCGCCTCGGCCATGTGCGCCTGGAGGGAGAAGCCGCACTCGACAGCAGGCAAATGCTCGAGGGCAGCATCGCTGGAGAATTCTGGGCGCGACCGAACCACTCCATCGCCGATGGCCTCGTGGCGCGGGCCCCACTTGCGGTAGGTCTCGCTGGGTCCGCCGACGAGGTGCGCGAGCGCAGCTCGCGCCGATTGGTCGAGGATGCGACCTTTGCAGCAGAGGCCCATGGACCCATGGAGGGCCAAGTAGTTGAATGGCGCGACCACAACTGCCTTGTGCGTCTGGATCCACGTTGCTGGCTCGGCAGGCTCTCGCTCCCGAGCCAGCGCTGCCGTCATGCCGTCCGTCGTCAGAACGTTGGCATCCGCGTCGGTGGCATGGTCGGCGGCGCTCGTGGCCTTGCGCCTTCTCTCGGCTGCCTGCCCATCTTTCTTGGGCGCCTTCTCTCTCTGGCTCGCGCGAGCCGTCGCCCCAGGAACGGCCTGCGTCAACAGAGCCAGGAGATCGTCGATCTCGTTTGCGGTCTTGCCCCTGAAATGCTGAATCAACGGCCACGCCCCGTCAATGGCTTCGCCCGCCTCGCTGCCACCGTCAATGGGGAAGCACGCTCCAAACCCGACGAACAACATGCTCTCCCACACTTGAAGATCAGCGCGGGTCTCGAAGAACGCACGGCCCTTCGACATGGCGGCAACCCAGGCACGGCAGCACTCGATGCTATTGTACATGTCCTGGCAGGCATGCAGCTCAGTGACGCCCACGGCATCGTCCAGCCCTTTGGAAAACTTCTCGATCAGGTCCCGCTTGGCCATGGCATGGTAC